CAGACTATAACAACCGAGCGTCAGATCACGTGAGCCCTGGGACGCCAAGCGACAGGCCAGTATATAAACCCATCATCCCCCGTCCCTCCTGCTCTCGCACCAGCAGCTTAACACCTGCACCCACATGCATATATTCGTATAGGTGAGGAGTCTAGCGCGATTGCGTCCTTGCTTCTCGCGCGCGTTAGCTGCTCACTTTGCATGTTTCTTCCTCAATTTTTACATCCAGTCGGTGGGTCACTGGGCTTGCTCAGCCCCACTGGCACAGTGTCGCCAGTATTACACTACTTCTGGCTGACGCGACCTTTTTCATTGAGTCTTCTCGCTTGCGAGTTGCTCGAGGAAGAAGTTCTTCCTTCGATTGCCTGATATCAGTCACTGACATTCTGTGATCTTTTGGCGTCAACTGCTGCTTTGTGTATGCAATACCACCAAGATCCAAGAGGTATTAATTGGAATTGTGACAGTCCAAGTTGGCTGGGATGATGAGGCGGCTTCGCGAAGCCTCGCAAGTGTCGTGTCGACAGCACTTCTTGGTGTTGTTATGTTTACATCCAACGGTGACGTGTCCAGCACGCCGTGTCAACAACTTTGAGCTTACTGTCAACTTCGAATTACTTGATGATATGAGCAAGCGTTGACGCGTACTATTTTAATCTACTCAGGCCGTTACCGTTGCCGATGTCCCCCGCAGCAGCCTGCGCATCCAACTGAGCCTCTAACAGATCGGCTGAACGATTTCTCCCCGCGACCGATCGATCATCTCAGAGAGGAGGGCATTTTGACGACTTTGGGAACGGTGGGCGCGAATGTGCCAGCTTTGCGTCCAGATGGCCTGGCTGGTCCAGAATTGCGCGACCAAGGTAACTACCCCGATTTCGACAGGATGGAATTTGGTGTACAGCTGCGTCAGAGCATGCCAGAAGTATGAGTCTTGAACGTGTTCTTTGTGCGAATGTGCCCAGTATACCAGACCCTGGGGCAGTGCGCTCGCGCCAGTCAGTCCGCGCTAAGGCCCCTACCGCGGCCATGGTCTTGTCTAAGGTGCCATCATGCCAGACTTGCGATAAGATCATCACAAGTCGCATTTCAGAGATAAAAAAGCCAGAATGTAGCTCATAGCGAGTTCTATTATTCACGACGTCGTTGCCACGGTTGACGCGCGGATGGTGTTGGGATTCGTCTAATGACGTAGTTTATCTTGACAGTCTCTGACAGTGGACTTCCGCACTCATGATACTGATAAAGCAGCGATGAACGCAATTGAAATTCTCGAGTTTGAGCCAAATTTGGAGCCGTTGAGTGCCTATGGCCTTGCACGATAACAGGTAGCACTGAACCAGTTTTTCTTAAAGAAAAGGTCTATCGCAGTCGCACAAGCACCATGGCATACAAGGATCAACGAGCTTATTGAGACTGAGGGGCATTGGAGCATATAGTCTATCTGAAGGCACTCCGGCTATGCCCATCGGAGCAGGCACCGTAACCCATATTCCGCACGATGCTGTCTTGCCATTCAACCTCCGCCACAAGACACCATGTCTGGATGCCCACTGTAGCAGGCCATCTCCTTGCGCAACTTTGCCCACCCGTGAACCGTTGTTTCCCTGAACTACACCGACCCGAGGTATGGCAACGAATGATCGCGGAGGGGACATGTTGTCGAGGTCGAGTGCGAATGGGGACGTCGACAACGCGGGAGGGCGACATAGATCCTAGAGCTCATGCAGTTATCCGACAGTATATAGCCAAGAGAATACGTGCTTACCTGTTGTTGATGTTGGGGACGCTCGACCAGTATCACGAGCTTCATTTGGTTTCGCCTCGAAAGGTTACTTATCTTTGGCGGCACTCAACGCCAGAAGCTTTGCCAAAGTCCCAACTATCCGCTTGCACAGATAGCTGCATCGGCATACCACTGTCCTCGCCTAGCGCGCAGTCAATTAAGACCAGTTGCCTAGCAAGTATACCGTCCTCGTACCCAGCAACAGGCATTGAAGACGGTATGGGTAGCCTAAGCCAATGGGGGAGACCCGTTACAGGTACGTGAATGGGTGGTAGGGGCGGTTCTTCTTCATCGTCGTTGTCATCCTCCTCTTCCTCTTTCCTCCCGCGGCGTACGAGCCTACCGGGAGTAGACCGTCCTGAAGGCCAGATCGATGCGGGCACGGAGTTCCTCCTGAGCAGACATTAGTTCACCGGAGGAAGGCTCAATCAGACTCGAAGAACTTACTTGGCTCTGTGACATGAGCCACTCCATGTTCTGGATCTCGCGCTCCAAGGCGAGATCGATCTCGATGCCCAAGAGGATGAGGCTGCGCTCAAAGCTCCGCTTCACGATGCGGGCTGTGCGGAGCTCCAGCCAGTTCCACCTGGGCGAGACGGCCAATCGGGCGATCTTCGCGTCGTTGTTGCGGATGTCCTGCTCAAGACCGTCACGCTCCGCAAAGAGCGTGGAGGAGAGGCGGGGACGGACGATGGGGGCAGGGGCAGTGGTGGTCATGTTGTGTGTAGTGGTGGTGGTGATGTGTGTGGTGGTGGTAGTGGTGACTAAAGACTTCTGTCAGCTACTTGATCTCAAAGTGATCAAAAAGAAGAGGATACTTACTTTTGGTATGGAGTGTGTTGGTTGGGGAGCTGTCTTCGACGCGGAGGAGTTATCAAGGCCAAACGCCGCGAGCGCAGCACGTGCCCTGCGCGTATAAATTTGCTCCTCACCAGGCTGCCTCCCTCCCCGGTCACCTCCACTACACCAAGTCACGTCGAGCTTTTTTCTCACCCCAAGTGACCACGACGGCCAGCGCCAAGCGCTACAACACTACACAATACCAAGCTGAGTCTCCCCTTCCTGCCCCCTTCATCCACACGCTGTAGCGTCATCGCTACTCGCAAGCGCCCCAAGATGACAGTTGTAGTTGCTGAAGGAAACCCCTAATGATCAACAAAACACTTGGATACCTGAGGGCGCTTCACTCCACTCCTCTACCCCCTCCTCTCATGATCACGGTTAACGCCTCTAGTCCCCCCATGCGACACTCTGCTGTCGCGCTTTCGCCTTTGGCGCTCGACTCCGACACTTTCTCTTTCCAAGGATCTCAACGAGCTAAGTCTTCCCCATCCCCTTCCCAATCCTTGCACACTGGAGGGCTCTCGACCGACACTATATGATGATACGTTTTCAACAATTCGTCCTGGGGTAGTTCCCCGAGACATCATGAATGACATCCAGCAAAGCCTTACACTAGGCCTGACGTGTCACCTGGCACTTGGATATCTGCCATCGACTCGCTACTCGATTGAACGTATTTAACTCTTTCCAGCTTTTCTCCAGCTACAATTACAACGGCAAAGCCCATAGCGGCGCACGCGACAACGATGATGGTGGAGTCTCAACGGCAGAATGGTAGCGGATGGCCTTGGTACGGAATGATAGCGGGTGAACCTTTGTGGTGGAGGGAACAACGGCCATATCCTGATGGATCTGAGATCTCAATTCTCAGGTTCAATGGTAGATCGCCTAGATTGAAGTGACAACTGAAACGGCGCGTGATCTGACTTCTTCTATCGTCAGATCCAGTCGATAGTTGCCTACATTTTTCCACTGTAGCTTCTCCAAGTCAATGTCGAGCTTTGTGCTCACGCTCTCGTGTGTAGTTCAAATTATAGCATGTATTCATATGATACATAGCTTACAACCAAACATCTTGACCTTATCGTATGCGGTGAATCATGCGTAGACTTGATGCTGGGCTTGTTGGTGGCCTTCAAGCGAGTAGCAGCCGACTGTGATGCTTCTCAATGACGTCATTGTTTATCTGAGAACTTGAGTTCATCACCGCGGACATCACTGCGCATCGTGGAACAAGTCGCGAGAGCGACACATGGCAAAACCGAAGTGAGCAGCAACATTGATTGTGTATCTATATGCGCCACCACGTAAACCGCAATACTTGCGCATCGCACCAAGTATTCTGTACCGTACGAAGTGACCCAAATCATCTAAGCACATGCGGCTTATCATCTGATGACTGCAAGCGACTCGCCCTTGTGACTCCTATGTCTGGCACGGGCACAGTGATTCCGTTCATGTGGTCGGCCGAAGATGTCTCGTTGACAGAAGCGGCGCCGTGGGCATAAGGGTGGAGAAGTCCGCCGCTGCAGAAAAGTCGGGTTGGTAAGGGCCTTGTTTCGCGCTGTAAATGTCGCCGTAGGTATCATGCGCCATCGAAGTATAGAAGACTCTGGATTTCGATGAGAGGTTTCGCAATCAGACCACGCAACTCGCGATCGAAGTATCTATTGCAAGCTGCCCGTGCCGCATCGAAGAAGACGTTCGTGCTGAAGTTTGCGCCGAGGGTGGGGCGGAAGGCATCATCCGATCACGCTTGAGCACATGTCTGAACATCATCTTTCCGACGACATGTCTTTGCCTTCCCGCAACACCAACGTCTCGCCAACACCCAATCATTCACCCACCCAGTATATGCAACAGTCAGCTCGTCGCGAAGCCTCGTAGATTGTGTAGGATTGATTTGCTGACAGACGCGCGCGCGCAATGCGAAGGGAGAGGTCGAGACTGGTCGTGTCGTGACTGCTGTCGAAGCTCGCTAGCAGAGGGGAGCAGAATCGCCGCGTAGTGATGTGAATGAGGTTGTCGCGGTTTGCTGTAAGTATTGAGGTTCGAAGGTTTGGAGCAAATGATGCTCAAGTCGAAATGAGTTGGCGTGGCTTGGGGCTTGGTGGAAGCTGGAGGTGATACCTGACCTTTGTCTTCGGCTCACGAACGTCAACAGGACGTCGCGGCAGTTGAGGGCTCTTAGCACCGGTGGACAAGTCCGGTGAGCGACCGACCCTACGCCACGGGGGCCCTCCTCTCGGTCGTACTCCCAGGCAAGCAAGCCCTGCTTCCCATCTCCATACGAGGACACGATCTACCCAATTTGGGAGACCGAACGACGCTGTCAGATGTTTGCGAGGAACTTATATTGCCCGGGAGCGAGTTAGTATTGGCCTTGCCATTTCTCAAGGATCTGCCAGTCTGCGTTCCGGCCCAATGGGCGTACAACTTGATGCAGCATCTCCCCGGTCTGTCGCTGCAAGCGGACTTGGTCTTGAATAGTGAGTTCCGTCTCTCTATCCAAGACATATTCATCCCAGGGAGTGAGAACCGCCCATTCAGGGCCAAACTGGATCCCAGTTGGATCGAACACAAAGGTCTTCTTGTTCTCCAGGGTGATCTTGAAAGCGCAGTGGAGGAGGTATCCCACTTGCTCGCCCATGTCGTATTTGAGCTCTTCAATATTCGCGATCCAGTCGTGCTTTTGGAGCCCAAATTCCAGATCGGCTTCCAACTCCACCAGGCTCATCTCACACCATAGCGCTAACAGATTTGCCCTCTGCCAAAGGGCATCCTCAGACGCCGTCGCCTCTCCACCCAGTGAGGGTAGAGGCTTGCCCTGGGCAACCCACCCCCCCCCGTTGCTTGTGCTCGAGTTTCTGCTGGAGCTCACAGCACCACCGACCGAGGATCGCCTCGTAACTGCTGGCTCGTTCGTCGTGGGCTGCACAAAAGCCCGTTCTGTCGTCGGGAATGACTTGCGCGCAGGTTCGACAACGGGTGCCGCTGAAGAGGAAGGTGCTCTTGGGCGAAAGATTCGAAACGATAGCCATCGTGGTGTTTGATGGGTAGTTGGATAAGTGTTATGATGCCAAAAAAGATGTTGGTCAAGATTCAGCTTTGAGGCGCGGCAAGATGTGAGCTTGAACAGCTGCTATTGTCCATAGTAGATGGTCGTATTCCCCTCGAAATTCTGAATAGAACCCGTAATACTCACGCTCACTACGAGTCCGCACTTCTAACTGCCTCTCACTCAGGCTATTGTCTGCCATATCTGGAAACATGGATCCTGACAGGTCCAATCACAGCGGGAGTGGACAACGTCATACGACTAAGATAGGCTGATTAAGTATGCGTTGATATGGCTAGGAGTTGTACGCGTAGATAGAGCTGTGCAACATTACACGTCGTATGCTAATGTACCAGTCCTGGTCTTCTGCCAGAAGATGCAGCAACGTATAACTTCATGCTGTAGGTGGCAAGCATACTGGACTGCCGGAGTTCTGTCGTGGGTAGCTTGTACGTATCCTCCTCAGCGAGGTTGGTTGCACGTACGATTAGTAGATTTTGGTGTTCTGCTTAGTGAAGACACAGGCCAGCTGAAGTTGGGTGAGTCGCTACATCCACGCTAGGATGCTCAACACCGCCCTTCTACACAAACTACATTCCATGTGAACCTGGGCGTTGCGCCTCGCATCGATTCACAAGACTTCGTTCGCTTCCCATCGTACTGGGTGTGCATTTCTACGCAATGCCGTCGCCGTCGCGCCTCCCGACGATACGTTTTCCCCGCCGACAAAAAGCCGTCAACACGCCTGGCGCCCGCCACGAGCTAGCATACCTTTCAATCAACACGGAGCGGACTCAGATTGAAGACCACGACATTCAAAATCGTCAGGCAGGTCGCAGTGCCATTGCAGAGGAACGTCGCGCCTGCAATCTCCCGTCGCGTGTGCGGCAACGGACATAGCGGGACATGGCAACCACCACCACATTACGATATTACGAATCGCGTAACCTCCCTATGGAAAGCTTCTTGGGGGACAGTTTGCGCTTTTCCAAAAGAAAATCGGAGTCGTGATGGTGGAGCTACACGCCGTCGCGGTGATCTTGGGGCCAAGGGCAGAACACAACGCCAACCACAACTTCACAATACGACCAGTCGTACAGCCATCGTATACCCAAGCGTATTACGACTCGATTTCGCTTCTCAGAAATTAAATCGGATCACATGCGGTGGAGTTATGCGCCGTCGCGCAAACCCACCTTTGGGAAGACAGGGTCTCACGAAGGCCTTACAACATCCGGTGGATCGATGAGGCTTTGCATGGGCTTCTGAACACCAGAGGAACCATACGCGAGGTAGTCTGGTCACATCGCAGTACCGTGGTAGGTGGCGCGCTGGCTGTCTTCTGTGGCTCCAGGCCATCAAGCACAGATTGGCAAGCAACAGGGCCGCACGACCTTGTGCAGACTGAAGGCCGTCGCGCCGCCTGCATTTCGCTGACCGAGCCCTCAGGCCAGCACTCTACATCGACGAGACGTCCGACTACTGCCTCACGAGCGCGCCGCTTACGAACCCGATCGATCGATGCGAACCTACCAGAGCTGCGAGAGTGGCACCGTGGTCGAGCGAGATATAATCTATATGGTCTTGACGGCATTGGGATGAGGAGCGATATCCCAACGGCTACGCTAGCGTTCGAGGAACACAAGGATCACGTCTACAGGCAGGTTCGGATCACACGGCAGATAGTCACGTCGGCGAAGGATAGAGCGGGCGAGGAGCAGATGCGGGTCTGGGAATGAGGGAAGGATAAAGGAGAAGGGCGGAGGTTGGTGACAGGGGCTATGAGCGAGAAGGGGTATGAGCGAGCAGGATGGCATGCGTCAAGAACGACGACGATGAGGACAAAGGAGGTAAGCGTCAGAGCTGGGCAAAGGCCGTTGGAGGGGGAGAAGGGAGGAGTCTGCGAAAGAGCACAACTGACATAGCCAGGAAGCCACGAAGAGCCGCAGCTCACGTCGAAACGAAGCCATCCCACCACACTCTTTACATCCTCACCGCGACCATCATGTCCCTCCTACCTCGCACGCTCTCCCACCTACCAAACCACACGCCTCCGCCCCTCGACCCGCCACCCCAACTCCGCAAAGTCAAAACCTACACGGCGCGGACACAGCAACTCCAAACAACCCCGCCCCATAACACACGAGCAATCCCAGGGCCTCAGCGAGGGGTAGGAAGGTGCGGCTATGCGGCAACAAGACTTCTGATGCTGAAGCTTGTGAAGGGAGGTAAGGCGAGTGTCTGAACACTTTTCGGGATCGGCTGGGGGAGTGTGGGGCCAGGACATAACTATGAGGGGTGATGATGTGTAGAGTGGAGAGCGGAAAAGCATGGAAAGCTGGTGGGCTGCGATGGAAGGGTTTGGATAGGAGAGAGGATGGGAGACTTGGGGATGGTGGGATAGGGGTGTACTAGGAGAGCAAAGCAGAAGTGGGATACACGGCGCCATTGGCGACCGGCCTCGCAAAGGGCAGAAGAACTGGATGTGCTGGATGGCGTAAACGCGGTGGATAAGGAAGAAGAGGGGATAAGCAGGGCGCTGGGAGACCGAGCTCAGTCGAACGCATAAGGAGATACCGCGAGGATATGAGGGGTTGATATATACAACAGAATCGGAAAAGGCCGACGAAGAACAGAGGGGTCATACTTTGGCATGCTGAGAAACGGGGTAAGGGGCCGAGAATGAGAAGAATGAAGCATCACGGATATATAGGCCTGGTAGTTATAGGGGGACATGCGGTCGGAAGAGCAGCGACTCGCGGCATATCGTCAAGCTTGAAGGAACATGAGCTGGAGCGTTAGTCATATCTGCAGTTAGCATAGAATGAAGACTTCTTGAGTCGATCGATCAAAATGGCTGTGAGCTCAGGCATCCCATATACCGTGTCTCGAGCTAGGGAAAACCGTAGCATCAGGATGATGCCGGACACACTTCACATCAAATCATATGCATGTCTCCCGACCTCGCAGACTCTCAAGATAGCATGATAGCCTTGGCCAGATAGCTGAATCTTGGAAGTGCAAAACGACATCATGAACAAGCCAGTGACAATGTCCAGTGATTACGCCTACTTTGCCAAACATGTCTCGCTGTCGTGGTTCTGTCGTTCTTGCTTATGGTTTGCAATCTTCAGACACTCGATTGTGAGCCTCTTTGACGACAGTCCGGCAATAGCGGAACGTCTTTGAGGGCATGCTCGTCTTCAGTCATGTGCAAGTCTGCGAAAGGGGCTGGAAATCCCACTTTTCAGCAAGTGCAAATGTTGTGGTTGCTCCGCCATCTCGTCGGGCTCAAGGTGCTTCAACGGACTTAGAGCAATTGCGGAGTTGGCGATTGTCCCGTCTTGAACATCAGGAGCGCGGGCGCAGTGGCTTGCTCGCCGCGATATCACTTTCTCCATGCACACAGCTTGGACTGCATTGCAGCCGCCGTCTCGTCCAGCTACACTGCAGCAGCTGCGTGTGCTTGCAGAGCAGACAAAGCTGGGTCTTGAGACCTTGCTGTCGCCATCCGGACGTTCTCAGAATGTTTTCCATAGCAAACTCAGCACTGCATCGCCTTGTGCGATCGTCTGAGGCCAATCTTGACAATCTGCTGGAGAAGAAGCCCCTAAAGACGGTCACCGTCGACGGCGCCTCCTTCTCCTTGCTATCGCGCTCCTTCTGCGAGGCCGTCTCTCATTTGTTGTGGTCCGTGCGCAGGTAGCGGGTGAGTTCGCCTCAAGGTGAGACTTGTTGACCGTCTTCCACCACCCCACCACCGACTTCATCACACTCCCCAATGCCGCAGTTCTTGCTGTGCTTCCCCTTCTTCATCTTCTTGAGCCCCTCGTGTCGTCCTCGCACAACTCCTGACACCACATCGGCGATGCTTTCGAGCTTGCCGCGGGGTAGGACGACGACTCTGGGTCGGACATTGCTTTCTTTCCCGCTTCGGCGACGAGGAGGCGACCTCCTCTGGTGCTCGACGCACCCAAGGCATCGCGGTATGTGCTCACTCCGCTCCTGATTGCTCGCTGTTGACGCCGCCGCCTTCGCCGGCCTGGTGTCGACCGATGCAGCTCCTCAGCCCCTCCTCAGCCCCTCCTCAGCCCCTCCTCTGCCACCGCTATACCAGCTGCGGATGGCTATGCCTGACCATTGCTGACAACATCGCTAGTCAAGACTTCATTCCAGGATTGTCGCCACTGGCTGAACACCTGAGCCTGTACGGACGAACGCCGACGACTACACTCACTTCTCGTCCTTACAGAAGGTTCGTACAGGCCAGGTGTTCAGCCCGGCACCTCTCACAAACTGCCTCCCTTGGCCAGGGCAGTGAGTATTACCCCGTCTACCTCTTGTGACCGTTGCTGACCACGTCGCTAGGCAAGACTTCATCCCGGGATTGTCACTGCCGGCTGGACATCTGGGCCTGTACGGACGAACGCCGACCACCACACTCACTTCTCGTCCTTACAGAAGGTTCGTACAGGCCAGGTGTTCAGCCCGGCACCTCTCACAAACTGCCTCTCTTGGCTAGAGCAGTAAGTAGTACCCCGCCTACCTCTTGTGAGCATCGCTGATTGACACGTCGGTAGAGGCAGCCGCCTGCTAGAAAGGCCTTGGTAGCCTTAACACTGCCGGCTGGACATCTGGGCCTGTACGAACGAACGCCGACTCCCACACTCACTTCTCGTCTCTACCAAAATATTCGCACAGGCCAGGTGTTCAGCCCGGCACGTCTTGCACAACGTTTTCCCTAGCTGGTAAGTCGAGCTTCCGATGCCGTCCATGGTATACCTGCTTGTGCAACGCCGTGCTAACGTATGGGTCCTCAGGCTCGTATGTCGTCCTCCTTGTCGACACGGCGGAAGTCGCCTCTGGTGATAGTCGCCAGCTATCACTGGGGGCGCAAGTAGTTTTCCAGACGACAATAATCCGATCGTCATATCTCCACTGTCGCCAGTCGCGGAATTCGGCGTTGGGCACAGCGAAATGATGGCGCCCGGCGGCGTTCATGCTCAGTAAGTCCAACCCATCTTCAAGGTCTTCGGGTCATGCTAATCGCTCCAAAAGTCATCAAACAGGTGCTGAAGCTGTTCGCCGCCGGTGCCCATCTGGGACGTCGCCTTGACGGTGCCGCTACTCGCCGCGGGCGCGCACATCGGACATCGACACAGTAAGTCGCCGAAGTCCTGGTGCACCTCGTCCATAGGCCAGCGTTATGCGCCCTAGGCCATGCGCTGTAAGTCGCTGAAGTCCTAGCGCACCTCGTCCATAGGCCAGCGTTCGAATGCGCTGCGAACAAGCCATTCGCCGACCCCCGCCAACATGTGCACCAAGGTCGTACACAAATAGGGCTGCGGCCACGAGATTGCTGAGAAGGCAGGATGATGTAGTTCTCCCAGACGTGGCCGCTACCAATCTCGTGGCCGCTCCCAATCTCACCCGGCAGCATGACACAGCAACAGCAGCACCACGATGGCAGCCAGCAGCAGCAGCAGCAGCAGCACTCGCATCACCAGCATCAGCACCCAAGTCGCCAAAGTCCCGGCGCATTGCCATCCATGGGCACAAGTCGCCGAAGTCCCGGCGCATCGCCATCTATGGGCACCCTCGTCTCGACTCGGTCCCAAACCAGGCCATCATACTCAACTCATGTGACTACGATGTCTACGTTTCTTTGAATCCCGACCGCTCTTCGATAATCACTCGATGCGACAACGGGCCGGGTAGCGAGGGCGTACTGGCAAGGCATCTAGAAAGGGTTGAGGAGTAAGTTCGATCCACCTGCCGGTGTCCTGGGGTCATGCTAATCTCTCCAGAAGTCATGGAGAACCAACACATCGACTTTGACGGGGCCATTTACGGCGTGGACGGTGCCTTTGACCCTTCCTTCGACCCGAACAGACAAACCTACAACTTCTCCCAGACGTGGCCGCTGCCAATCTCACCCGGCACCGTGAAGGGTAGCACCCACAACCAAGTCGCCGAAGTCCCGGCGCAACACCATCGATGGGCATCTTCTTCCACGGAGCCACTTGGACTTTACGCACTTTAATCATCGGCGACCATTTCGATTCTTCAGCGAGACTGAAAGCGGCCATAGACGGGTCGAGCAGCGTTCGAAACTGCCTACGTCTGCAATAACACGATGACCGAGCCGGTCAAACCCAAGGGTCGCAATCGACTTCCATATCCCAATATGGCAGGAGTAGGAGCAAGAGTGGGAGACTATCAGTGCAAACCGATTTTGACCAAAACATCACGGTCAACATGCATGCCTGGATGGCGGTCTCCAGAGCCGTATCCAGGAGTAGGGCTGGTGCCCATGCCCAGCGCTGGAACTTATACTCACACCCCCTTCTTGATCATCATATGCCCATCTCTTCGTTGGTAATTCCAACGGAGAGCACAACGACCAGCTACTGATCGATGGAAAGAAGAGAGGAGAGACGTACAAGCAGCTGCTCCTGTTTCTGAGCTGGTATGAGAACAGCGCGCGTGTTCCCATGATCATCAACGGACCCAACATTGCGCATTCAAGATCAAGGAGTCGGTGTCGACGATGGATCTTCTGCCGACATTTGTCGACCTCGCTGGGGGACAGGTCGATGACCGCCTGCCACTCGATGGTGTAAGCCTCCACGACTGGGCTCCGGCCTGCGAGCCTTGTGCTCAGTTCGCAGCGGGTGGAGCTTGACAGCTCTCCTTCGAGCATCGTGATTCCCACACGATGGCAAACGACGCGAATAGGCTCCGGCCTGTGAGCCTTGTGCTCCCTTCACAGCGCGCGATGCTTGACAGCCCTCCCGGGCACAGTCGCAGCCCGAGCAGACTCGGACTCATCGCTGTGGACTACCAGCAGCGATGAGTCTGAGGCGCCCATGACGCCAATGACGGAGGTGGTGCGGGTAGTTACCGCAACTCCCGTACATGGATGTCCCCGGATGTACTGCTGCGCGCGCATAAGTCGTCGAAGTCCCGGCGCATTGCCATCCATGGGCATAAGTCGCCGAAGTCCCGGTGCAACACCAGCTATGGGCCGCCCTGCAACAGCATGGGTGAAGTCGTCGATGCGCCGCCTCTTCAACAGATGGACTTTTTTGGTTGATGAACCTTTTCTGTTGTGGTCTTATGATTCATCTGCATCGAGTTCGACAGACCCCAGTGACCCCAAGGCATCCGAACTTGCCGACCGACCATCGTCCATGGCCGCAGCAGCATTTCTAGGAATCGCGTGGTTCATCTGCATCGAGCTTAACATCCGCCTGCTGTACAGAGCCACGCGTCGCAGCCTATACTTCTGGAGCTGCTTACTCCGCAGTTGGGGCTGGTTGTCCACGGCATCTCCATTATCTTGGCCAACTTCAACAAATGGAGGAAGATATGGCGATCTTGAAGTCTGGGAGCACTGCGTCGGAGGCAGGCGCGTCAAGAACATCCCCGCCATCGACGACGACCTCGCCAACCATATCATCGTCAACTGTCTTGGCTGAGGGCATTGTTCCCACCGAATGTCGATGCCACGTTGGCGACACTACTTTGAATCTTGAACACTTCTTCTCGAACCCGTCTACTGAAGCGGAGCTCACACGGGTGTTGGAGAAGGTGCGGGAGCGTACAGTGATGGCGGACAGTGATCTCATGTCCAAGGTCAAGGTGGCAGGACTGATCGCGCTGAGAGAGAAGCGCTGGGTCATGTGAAAGCAAAGACCTGATGTGGCGCACCAAACCAACCCGATAAAGACTTCATGGACGGGCGCATCAAACAAACCAGCGACAAACAAGCCAGCGACCTTGAAGTGTGGGAGCACTGCGTCGGAGGCAGTGCTCCTGCCTAAGTACTTCCAGAGTCTTGAACTTCTCGGCAACAGTCGTCGCGTCACTCGAGACAATCTCCGCAACCTGATTGGATCGCCAACATATGCGAGGACTGCGTTCGCTCGTCCTCAATCGACCTCTTCACTGCTGCCGAACCTCTGGATGCCGCGATCATCGCGGTCGAGGCCCGCTTCAAAGAAGCCAGCGACCTTGAAGTGTGGGAGCGCTGCGTCGGAGGCAGGCGCGTCAGCCGCCCTGCCTTCAACGCCAAGAACCGCGAGGACTGCAACAACAAGTTGGATATTCGACGCTACGAGGGCGCCGAGAAGGACTCTCGTGGTGCGACGGTCTTGAGACGGCGAGGTGACCGCCAATATCGACGCGGACCCAGCCAAGCTGAAGTACACGGTCGACATCATCTACGCGAGCGCTATGGAAGACAAGAATTGGGTATACGTCGCAGTCAAGCTGCTGAACTATCTCTGCCATCTCATCCCAGCAACACTTGCTGACCCCAACGGACTCCCCGATGGGCTCCTCATGAAGACATGCGTTGGTCGTGCTACCGTCGACAAGGGCGTTGCCTTCGAGGTCTGCGCAGAGAACAGCTGCTTTGGCTCGATCTCGCATGAAGCGCATTGGGTTCATCTCCGACTTCTACCATTTGGAATTGTTCGATAGTTGGATTCGTAGTGCGGAATGAATAGATAGTGAGTCTCCAGCCTATGCCGTCCAAGAGTGAAACAATGCTGACGTCTCCCAGGAATTAATGAAGTTCAAAAGAGTCGTCTTTGTCTTCTTCCTTGCGTGATGTCGATCCGGGATGTAACCGCAGCAGCCGACATCGAAGGTCCTGGTGATGCTAATGCTTAGCTGTTTCTCGCAGCTTCGAAGCTGATGAGCATCGCGTACGTGAAGATTCGGTTTCCATGGCAGATTCCAGATAGTAAGTCGAGAGCTCTGATATGCTCTTTTGTGAGGCTAACGATTTCGTAGTCGATTTGTCGCTGTCCAGGTCTCACTGTCGATGGCTCCGCGCCGGTATCTCGCTGTCGGATGTCTCGCTGGCGATACTCTGCAGTTAGTATTCCGCTGGCGAAGTCACGATGCAATACTGTACAGCCTTGTCGGTCATTGCTCCGGTAGACTGCACGTCAACCGCCATACCATGCGGCCTGGTCAAGCCTGCTCGACGCACTAGCCATGGAGGCTGAGTATGACACACCACATGCTCCATCGACAGCGAGATCGAGCCAGCGCTGCGGGCTTGACCCGCGCCTGCGCCGATGAGCAATGAACCTTTGGGTGCTCCGGTGGCATGCCCATAGTCTCCGTCTCTTGCTGGTATGTATCCTCTCCATGGGTTCCTCGCGGTTGCCCAAGCGCCCCGCACATTATGTTGTAGGCCCAGACCCTTCATCCGATCCGAGTCGCTTTACTTTCGAGTGGGTGACAGCATCGAGTCTTGTCTTCTTGGTATGCGAGGGGTACGAGAGCGTCAAGAGTGGCCGCCATGAGTACCGACCCGAAGGTGCTAGGTGAGGCATCGATAGTCGGCCTCGAATTTCAAGCTTGACGGCTCTCACCAGGCACTCCGCGAAGGTATCGAGATCGCCAAGCTACTGCCTCCCAGGTGAGAATGGCTGAGCACCATGCCGCCAGAAAGTCGACAGCGAGATGGACTATCGTTATGGTAGTTGCCAGCCTTAGGCTAGCCATGGGAGCTTGTGCTTCGCCTCTTGCGCAGTGCTTCAGCAATGCTTGTCGCTAAGGGTTGTCGGCGGAGGTGAGGGCGGAGGTGTGTCGGAGGCAGCTCTGAAGTCAACCAAAGAAGGATGTCGCTGCCGATGCAAGGGTACAGCAGCAGCTTGTTGTATCTAAGCCAAAGCATCAGCAATGTCTCTGCACGTTCTCTTGCCCTTGCTGGGTGATGTGTGTGGCTTCGAGGCGGGGTAGCTGCGGAGGAGGCAGGTTCAGGGAGGGGCAGCGAAGGTCAAGGACGTCGACGGCAAAGACGAGAGGCACTTACTACGGTCTTTCTGAAGCTCCTCTCGCTGTGTGAGGCTCGCAGAAGGATGCCAAAAACCTTCGTTCGGCGGGTGAGGTTCGCAGCGACGGCTCCCAGCTGTCCTGAACCTCACTCGCAACGCCAGAAGCTGCGACAAGCGCGCAGGCTTACTGAGCGGGATGGAGGAGGTGTTTTGAAGCTTCGAGTCTGCTCCATGTTGCTGTAGAGGGTGGGGGAGGGCAGGAGGCTACGATGGGTTTTGGAAGACTTCCGCGGAGGCGGTTTCCGCGCTGTATGCGGCCGGGGGCAGTCATTCAAGTCGATGATGATGTTCTGCGAGTACTTGTAGAGCTTCTCAACGAAATGCAGCTCGATCGCAGGGGGTCGATGTGGGAGCTACGGTGGTGGAGGGGCATGGCTGGGAATTTGGTGATGGAGACTTTGGTGTTGCAGCAATGAACTTCAGTTGACCCAAAGACCGTGCATTGTTCGGCTTCACCAACCAGCGCCACTCTACACCACACCCTCCCCAACTCCTCAGGCCGAGTCTATGGATTGCCCCTCTCCGTCTGCCCGTACTGGCTGCCTGGCGGCCCCTTCCTCGCCTCAGAATGGCAGGCCATACCACATACGACGTCGTGGTGCTATCCTCGAGTCCGCCGGCCGCTTCCCCGCTACATGATGCCCCCTCCCGTCGCGTCGCCATGCTTGCATCCTCCCCTCTCGCATTCTCCCCTCCTGCGAGCCCCCTCAGACCGACTGTCGGCGCGTCCAAGAGCAATGCACGAGCTGCTCCTATCCCCGAGGGAGCTGTCAGAGGATTCGCCACCGTGGGCAGCCTCATACGCTCCGAGCACTTCACAAGCCGCCTCGACGACGACTTCGATGCAATACAACAAGCGCAACCACGGCGGACTTCACAGGATACTATAGAGCCTCCTTTGGCTGCGGAGAAACCCAAGAAGCGGACTACGAAGAAGGCTACAGCTACTACTACCGCTGCAGACGGCTCCGAGAAGCCCAAACCGAAGCCTCGAGCGCGCAAAGCGAAACCCAAGTCAGACAAAGAGATCCTTGACTCTGACGACGAACTCCGACGCCCGCCGCAACGACCTACAAAGTCTCCTTTTTTCGATGATGATGCGACAGAACCTCCGGGCGACCCTGCGGCACCAGCTGCGGATGCGCCGAAGCTGACCAAGTCTGGCAAGCCCCGTAAGCCTCGCGCGAAGAAGGTCAAGACTGCGGAAGATGGGACAGAACCTGCGCCAAAGCCAAAGAAGCCGAGGGTCACAAAGGCGAAAGGAGGGGCGGGGAAGGGCAAGCAGGGAGATGCGTCGCTGGTGTCTGCGCATTTCAGTGGAGCAGACGGAGGCCAGGAGTCGGTAACACGGCCTTCTGTAGAGGATCACGACGCTCAAGCGAAGCCCCAATCGATCTGGGAAGTGCCAGACAGCCCAAAGCCGAAAAAGAAGGCTGCACCCAAGCAGCGACAGCCAGATCCCATAGCAGAGGGATTGGAGTTGGAGGAGGCTGTTGTAAGGAGGAGAGATTGGACGCCACCACCCGACACCACAATTGCATCGCCATTCACCGACTCGACCGGAAAGGAGAACAAGACCTTATCGCAGAACGCTGATGGCTCCTTCACGAACCTCCTCTCCAACTTCGCCTACGCACAATCGCCATCTGCGCAGATCGCTGCGAAACCGAACAACCCAGCAGGGGCCGTGGCGGCGACAAAGCGGCGGAGAATCGAGCTTGTCGAGATACCCAGCAATAACACCAACTCCAGAGACTCGTCTCCCGAGAAAGGCAAAGCACCGAAGAAGAAACCGCGTACCATCACCGACCTCGTTACAGAGCAGTATGCCTTGAAGGATGCACAACCAGTTCCAGACGATGCGGCCAGCAACTTCTTCGAGTCCCGAGCTTCGACAACTACAACAAAGGTGCCGCTGAACGATGCATCGGCGGCGGACGGCGATGCAGCGCCGAAGAAGCCAGTACGCAGGCGTAACAGCTCGAAGTCAGGCACAGAGAAAGCAGATCCCAAGCCGAGGTCGAAGAAGGCATCTTCGAAGGCAGCCGCCAAGCCCAAGCCTGTCGCGGAGAAGCTTCTCAGCCCTTCGTCGGCAATGTCGCGTCTGCAGCAGCAGGACGTCTTGTTCGGAACATCAAGTCAGCTTGTGCTTGAAGAGTCGCCGACAATGGTGCGTCAACTACAGTATGCGCTGAAGGAGTCTGAGCAGGACGCCGACAATGTTCCGTATGGCGCGCCGCCGCGATGGTCACGGCTCGGCAGGGTGGAAGGCAAGCGCGGGCTTTGGGCTGCGAGTTCCCGCGACGACGACGGCGGTATGCTGGAGCACTTGAAGGACGTTTATATACCCGAGCCCGACCGAATGCAAGACATACCATTGCTTATGGACGGCACTATCGATGCGCCTGATGAGCAAGGCGATGATCAATCTGACTTCATAGATATTGACGATATACCACCGGACCCGCCGCCACCAATTGCTATATCTTCTGATCCGCCAATGCCTCCTCCCAGCACTTCACGTGCCACCCCAATGACGAAGTTTCGCAACGATGATGATCACGTGAAAGATACGGGCTTTAGGGACATTGACGACTGCATGCAAGAGCCTCCACCTTCCGGTCAGAAACCTGTCTCACCAGACAGCTTCATTGACATCGACGACTTCGACTTTCCGCCCTCTGCGCAGATGCGGAAATCGCCAGTCTCGATCTTCAAACCTCCAGCCTCAGCACCAACGCCCATGGACGGCTCCCCCAAGAAGCGCGGAAGGCCGACGAAATCGCATTCTGCAATACCCACATCAGTTTCCACGTCATCGACGCCAATCTTGAAGCCCCGCGCGAAGTCAAAGACCAGAACTAAGATGCTATCAACCCCTCCCACAGGCTCAGGTCGCTTCATCGACATAGACGAGATCCTCGACTCCGAAGACGAAGTCCTACAGCTCCTCTCGCCCACGCCGCCCCGAACAACTAAACATGTCAACTCGCAACCTCTCTCTCTAATCACACTATCTCCCACAACCTCACCCAGCAAAACGGCGAAAGCGAAAGCCTCAGCGGCCGACCCAAGTCTAGTACCCATCCACCGCATACCAACCCCGCTTCTCGAATGGCCGAACATCAAAGCCCAGGTCTTTGCTCAAATAACAAGTCACATCCGGTCTTTGCCTCCAACCACCAACCCCAACAAGCCTACCTGGCACGAAAAGATCCTCATGTACGACCCCGTCGTCATCGAAGACTTTACCGCGTATCTCAACACTCACACACCCATCCGCGTGTACAAGAAAGCTACACAGAAGCAAATCAAAGCGTGGAATGCGGATCTGAAGAAGCAAGACAAGGAGGCGGTGCATCTGGGCGTGGGGCCAAGCAGGGAAGGGGATGGATCGGAGGTGTTTGCTGTGGAGAAGGAACTGGAGAGCACGATGGTGCAGGGGTGGTGTGAGAGTTTGAGTGTTTGTTGCATTTGGGGGGAGAATAGGACGAAGAAGGGGACGGCTAGGAAGGGGTTCTATTGATGCTATGAGATACCTGGATACCGAAGTATGTTGGCCAGACGGCCTGTTTGACAATGTCTTCATGATGCACCTTTTGATAATGTACTTCTTCAAAGTTTTTCCTCGGGGTCGTGCCTGCAAGATATCAACAAGTCGAAGATGACGTCGATCCACTGGAGCGGGATCGGGCGGACGCTAGCAGATCCACTACCACCACACGGGATAAAACCCACTCCTTACTCCTTCCCGTGGGTTCATGTACGAAATGCTTACGCGACCTACATGCCTCCCGCAATCCGCACAAAGCACCAATGCGCGGTATGCAACAAGATCTATTCCACCAATAGCCATCTTCGCCGCCATGAAGCGTCACGTGAGTTCACCTTGCACACTCAATTACCTCCGCTCACGATAGCTAGATTTTGGCAGGCAAGACTTGACATGTCCATCATGTCATGCGCAGTTTACGCGACGGTGGGTTCAAGTCAAGATGCATGTGCTTGATAATAGCTGACGTCAAACACAGAGACCTCGCTCGACGCCATTTGTCGAACTGCTCCTCCGCTCACGGCGATGACGTGAGTCTACCCACGTTGAGGCGCGGCAGGAAGCGAAACTCCTGCGACAGATGTTCGCAGCGCAAGCTATCGTGCGATACCAAAATGCCATGTGTGCGTTGTCGCGACGGCGGCGCGGCATGTACGTATAAGCGGTTGGACGGCGTTTCTGCAGGTGCTACTGCATCTGTCGGAAGCAGCCAAGATGGTACTGAGACCAGTACCGATCGACAGCGCGTGGGCATCTCCATCGACTTCCTCCTCAATTTCACGAATCCCTCGGGTTACCGGCCGTCCGCTGCGATCGCCGCTGAGGCTGCTGAGCTCGAGGGTGCAGATGGTGAGGCGCACGTACAGCCACACGATGCAGATCAAGATATGACGCACGACCAGTCGTTCTTTGAATTCGCGGACTTGCCTTCTGTGTTCTTCGGTTTCCCTTTTCTGGTTTCGGGAAGAGAAGCAGACTACGCGTCTCCGATCATAAGCGATAGTCTGACACCTGAACTGGAAGATGCTTACGCCTTGGAAGTACGCGTGAGGGAGATGCTCCACCAGCTTTCTGCTAAGCACAGCTCGATGCTGGAACGTTGTGATGCGGTTGATGCAACATTCGACTATCAACTTGCGGAAACCGTCTTTACAGTGGGCAATGTGCGGCACTTTGTCTGGGCCTTCTTTCGCTACTTTCACTACTCCTTTCCCATTTTGCATAAGCCGACATTCGATATACAGACGGTTTCTTTCCCGCTTCTACTCGCGCTTGTTTTGTTCGGGTCGCTGCCGACTCTAGAGTCTGATACCTCCATCGGCGTACGACGGTTCTCACACGTTGCGGAGGCATACGTTTTCGATCAACTGGTATTACGTCAGATATCGCAAGTTGACAATTCGGCGTGGGTCGACGATGAGCATCTCCAGTTGTTGCAAGCGGGTCTATTATTCCTGGTGTTTCTAAACAACAGCAACGACATCGTCACAAGACGGCGAATCCGCCTCCAGCGCATTCCGTCGCTTGTCGCTGCTGTGCGAGCTTCAGGCTTGTTTGCGCACAAACAGCGTCACATTATCCCCAGTCAAAATCAACATGACTGGCAGGGGTTCATCAACGATGAGATGCGATCGAGGTACCATGACCCCGTCCGCACCATGTACATGAAGCCACTAACAACGCTCGCAGATTGGGCATGTGGACCTGCCTCTTCGACAGCACGCTCTCCGTATTCTTCAACAATACCCCACAAATTGCCATCAGTGAGGCGATAGGTGATCTCCCCTGCGAGGAGAGCTTGTTTAGAGCCGAGTCGGCCGCCGACTTCGCGCGTCTTGCATCGCATCAGCTTCCGCGGCTACGAGTCGAGACATTACCCGAACTCATGTCACGCGCCCTTTTTTCCCCTGTAGTACAGCGCGCTGATGAACCGGGAGAAGCCGTCTCACCTCCACATATGCTGATACTCATCTGCGGTCCGTTCTCACATCATCCATTCTATGGTAAACCCGCTGACTCCCATAGCACTACTATCCATCGTCATGACATCTAGAATGAACTTCCTCACCTCTATGAACATAGAGCCGATGCTTCGCGCCACCGACCGATGGAAGGCACTGTGGGATGTAGTAAGCCGAGATGGCGGAGGAAATTGCTTGCCTGATCTGGGGTTCGAGAAGCACGCCGCGGAGTACTGGTGGCTTACCAAGACCATCCTGAAGGTCTCGAAGTTGGGAGGTAGGAGCTGCCGCTACATGCAACCTGCACCATGTGATTCGACACAAGACTTGCATGATTTCGTGAGAAGGTATAAGGATTTTGTTGTGTAGATGTGGGCAATTCGAGATAATGTCAGAGATGCTATATTGTACAGTCGATAGCACTGAATTAAGCATAATGTATGCCCTTTTACCAAAGCGATCGCTCCTCAGACAGTAATGTTCGACAAGATAGGACTAGCGTATGGGTCTATCTCCGGACGCTGGGTCTATCGCCGAGATGGGTTCATCGCCGAACCTTCGATGCGCTACTGCGCCTCCGCACTGCATCTCGCGAATCTAGATCTCAGCGCCCGCGGAATCCGACGCCATCATGGGGATGATTAGCGCGTTCTTATGCAAGGGCCCAGGGCCGCGACTGATGAAGACGTCAGCGTGCTGATTAGTATATACCTTGAACGCGTCCGCCGAACTTGTTCCAAGAGGAAGCGCGTCTACGACGTTGTCTGACACACTTGTTACCTGCATTTCTTCTTGATGATAATTTACAGTATGGCTCTAAGAAGATCGGCGAGAGCGGCGACACGCACTGCACAACAGACCGCGAGTAGTGCGATGAAGAGAAGACACTCTGGTTCGTCGACTGGTGAAGAGACGCTCAGCAAGCGCGTCGACAGCCGAGCAGCAAATCGTTCCGCAAAGAGAGACGGCATTGTGCAAAGCAGTGACGACAACAGCAAGCAGACCATCACTCAGTCGAACGATGTCACGGTCGACAATCCCAAGATAGACGACAACGCCGGCGCAGAGAAGAAATGGAAAGCATGGTCCGCCCACGCGACATCCACGCCATACCCTGACTTCGGCCACCCCACAAACCGCGAGTGCCAGCTAGCCTACGACATCCTTCACAAACTACACAACACCGCCGTAGAAGCCGAATTCGAAGACACCAACACACCGGAGACAATCCCATTTGTCCTCGACGCCCTCATCGTCGCGGTCCTCAGCCAAGCCACGAGCTGGAACAATGCGAAACGCGCAATGGACAGCATGAAAGATACCTACGGCTCGGTGTTCGCTTATGAAGAGATATATAATGGAGGGTCGGAAAAGCTACAAGAGACGATCCGCTGCGGTGGCTTGCACATTAGAAAGACCAAGATCATCATGTCCATCCTCGAGGAAGTGAAGCGTCGCTACGGACGCTGGAACCTGGACCACCTCCTTGAAGCGAGTGACGAAGATGCCATGAAAGAGCTCATGAGCTACAAGTACGTGGGCCCAAAGTCTGCGTTCGTAGTAATGGGCTGGTGCTTGAAGAGGAATAGGTTCACGGTTGACACGCATGTTTATCGTATTGCTGGGCTGTGGGGATGGAGACCGAAGGAGGCGAGTAGGGAGAATACGCAGTTGCATTTGGATGCGGTGATCCCGCCGGAGCTGAAGTTTAAGTTGCACTTCTTTCTTATTCAGCATGGAAGGACTTGTCCTGCGTGCCGCGGTGGAAGTAAGGATACTAAAGGGTGTGAGCTGCTTAAGGAGGTGAAGCAGTAACTAAATAAGACGGATTAGGAGGTGAATGATAGATAACAATGCCAGTAGACACGCTCATCAGCGGTGACGCCCTCCTCGACGCAACTACCTTAACAACACCCACCGCGTGTCTCAGTCAATTCACCATTCACCAACACACTCCCATCGCTGTGCCTCCCACCCTCCCTCTATATAAACAGCGATTTCCAAGCCCAATCCTCTATTCCCTTTCCAACAACTACCCACTACCACAATTTCACTACCATACCACAAACCCCAAAACCACATCACACTACCACAACAAACCACCTTCAACCACACTACCACTACCACCACCACCACCATCACAATGACCACACCAGCCCCAACCTCGTCATACACCTACTTCTGCTGCAAACCCTCTTGCTGCGCCGCCAACATCGTGCACAACGTTCCGCGGAGTCCGTACCCGCAGTTCCAGCACCAGTTCAAGTGCGCAAAGTGCGGCGCCCAGCAACTCACGGGCATGTGGCAGGAGTACCACGGTGACACTGGTGACGGACACAAGGGGTTTTAGGATGCCGGTTGTGGCATACGAGAAATTTGGGGACGGAGGGACGAGGGGGTGAGAAGGAAAATGCAGAAGACATCGGGAGGGGACGTTTGAGGGGAGTGAGGGAGGAGGGTGATGTAGCTGTCACGATACCACATGATGATGAGAATGAAGTTTATATTGTACTTGACTACCTCCTAGCTATTGTGTGATGTTTCGTGTGACTGAGGCCACCACCCTGAAGTCGTACACAGGTTCCTGCCTGTACTATGTAAGAAGTCTACAGGTCGTTCATTCCGCCCTCCTCTGAGTGGAAGTTCCACTACATGTACATTCTTTCTCTGCCATTCTTGTCCCTTTTCCCCAGGATGCGGCGGCATCGCCAATTTGCGCGGAGGCTCCTTGCTTACATCGATTCTTCCAGTGGAGTAGGTCCCTGTTCTGTTCTCGAATTCCATGTGTAGAGCCATTTCGCCTTCTTCGGGGATGAATCGCACGCGTGTTGGAAGCCAATCGGGCATCTTCTCTCCAGATAGGGCTTCCAGAGCTTCTATAAGAATATCTTCATCGACGGTGGCGACGTTCCAGTTCTTGTGTATCTTGTTGGTCTCGTTGACTATCCAGGCTTGCATGCGCTTGGCGCGTGTGAGCTCCGCAGCCACGTCCGAGGGGCTGCCTGGCGAGGCGGATGGTGAGCGTTGGATAGAAAGATCTCGCGTCATGCGGTGCCATGGGGCAATGGCCATCTGGAGTGGAGTGTGTAAGCGCATTGTCAAAAGCGGAATGTGTTTGGAAACTGAATCTGCCCATCTGTGCGACTTCTGGAGACAGAGTGCACTATCCACGTCAATGACTCGTAATTGCTGAGGCGACGGGAGTAGCGATAACTCCGCCTCAGCTGGGAAGTATCGATAAAGCGTATCCGCAAGACCGCAGAGGAGCGACTGTAACATCCAGCTTCTGGTGCAAAGTATGAAGTCTTGTACCGAGTCGAACTCGAGGGTGTCGGGCATCAGGTCGGCGACTTCCGGTGATGGTGGCATCGGTACCACAGACACGGTTGTTTCAATGAGCTCAGCTACGTGTCGCGACACGTCGATCTGCATCAGACCCTCCAAATATGACATGGCGATAGCAAGCGCGGTCGTGTCCTCGGGGTTCGAAATGGCTTCTCGGATCAATGCTACCGCGTAAGGGCACTGAATGAAAACGTGCATGACAGCCATTGACGCTCTCTGTGATGGCGACAGCACGACATCTCTTGTATCGATCGGAGGTGGAATTGTAGCCGACAGGTAATAGTCATTGTGGTATACTGACTTTCGACCCGTCATCATCGCCTCGTGAACCTTTGAACGTCAGCAGCGAACTCCTAAGACCGAACAGTACTCACGTCGTCGACATAGGTATTGTCAATCAAATTCCAGAAATGATCGTCATCGACTTCCGCCACCGTGCCCGACTTCAGCAGCTCTGCAATTCCGAACGCATGAATGGCATAATACAAGGTATCAAGCCCCAGAAGAGCCTGCATATGATCAGCAAAGCAGGTCGACGTCTAATAGCCTGACTAACCTCAGCAGCGTAGTGCAATTTGGTAGCCAACAGGATGTCGTACGTGATCTTGTTATCAGTATTCATCACAGCGAGCTGCAATTCCTTAAGCGCTTTAGCCTTTGAAGCTCTGGCGACCTTGCGCTTCGAGTGCATATCATCTCGGTACGTAGCGTGACTGTCGACGAAGAACTGGACGGCCAAATCAAGCATCTTGTTCGACCCGATGCGCGAGGGAATGGACTGTATCCATGTCCCTAAGACCTCAAAAGGCTGCCTACCCGCGGGATCTGGTCCGAGCACGCCAACGTATCGGGCGATCAGGGTCGTCTCGGGAGAGGACGGCTGATATGGTGCGAGAGGGCTTTCTTCTCGCAGCTTCTGGAGATGTACTTGAAGCGCAAGATTCTGCCGGTATTCTCTCATCTTCGACGGCTGCATTCTAGACCTTGAACGCGGTGCCAGGGTCTGGAAGCAACCTTGTCGATCTTCGGTGTGCCTTTCGGTAGTGATGCAGAGGTCTGAGGAATTTGTTGAGGACGAGCCGGCTGAGAACGAGGTTGTTGGAGACGAGCTTGAACCTTCGTCAGGAGAGTTCAATGGATATACGGCACAGCCAATCCTGGATCTTCCATGTTTGGTCAACTGCCTGGGGTCCTGCACAACGAATGCTGAGGCTTTGCCGTAGGAGTAGGCACATGGTCTGTCTTTCTTCTTGCATGCGCTGCATTTGGGTCGTACTTCATCACACTATGTAGCCATCAGTAAGAACGGATTCTAATCCGCAACGACTTGCATGCTTTGCGACGGATTCTTGGCGCAATTTGACAGGCGTCTTACCTTGACCTTGCGCTGCCGACAAGTGTCGCACTTTCCAGTTTGCGTCATGACAATAATCCAATCGCGTATGCGTGGCACAGTTTTAGAGCCTCAGAGAAGCCTGAATGCATTGGAGGATAGCGGTAAATCTGCGATGCGAGGTGGCTTGATCACAGGGCGCGGCTGCCTAACGCTGAGCTCCGACGCAGAGTCTTTCCGTATTGGCCACAGTCAACCCATCCCGGAAATCGTCAGTTAATGCGTGCAAACAACCGAAAGTTATCAGCAAAGGTGTTCTCGATGTGGAACTGCGAAAGCCGACAGGAGACAGAATGTTGTTCCTGCGGGTCGAGGATTCAGGCCGCAGTAGCGCGGCCAAATGCGGTTAGCTAAGGCTCTTGGCCCCCGGGGCCTCACACACCCGGGCAGCTGAAGATACGACATCGATACTTCCTTCGGGAATCTTACTACCACAATCCTACTCCATAAAGCCGGTTTCCACGCGACACTAAAAGACAGGACGCTCTCACATCTCATAGCTTCTCTTCAGCGCAACACCACGTGAATAGTGTTCACGTTCTCTCAGCTCTTAGCCTCGTGGCCGACTCAACGCAAAGAAAAGCTTTTTACTGCGCTGGTCTCAATACATAGGTAGTCCAGACAGCTCTATCGTCCGGATGCGTGCAATCAAAACGAACCTCGAGAGACTGCAACTCAGAAAAGAACAGTCGGAAGAGAGAAGAATATGTAATACACACCTTTGAGAACAGAGAACACTGGCTAAGCTGAGGCTCATAGGGATTCGAGAGTGGCCCGCCGTAGTTTCATCCGAATAGGGACTCAAGAGTGGCCCTTGGATTCATTCGAATACCAGCTTCTGGAAACACCGGACACAATTCGCGTAATCCACGTTAGGCCTGCCGAAGACTTCGGAGCTATCGAGAGCGTCAAGTGCGATATCGAACATATCCGAATGAACGAGAAGACCTCTTATGACGCTTTGTCTTACGAATGGGGTTCACCCGCCGATGACGATCCGGTTATTCTCCTCAATGACCATGACCTCACTGTGCGACGCAATCTGTTTGACGCGTTGCTTACTTTCAGACGTGAAGGAAGATATTCTTACGGTCTTCGTATTTGGGTTGATGCATTGAGTATCAACCAGTCCGACACGCGAGAGAGGAATCATCAAGTCGAGCTCATGGGTATGATTTACCGTCGGGCCGTCGCTGTGCTGGTGTGGCCTGGTATGACACAGCATTATAGCGCGACTGCCGTCAGAACGATCAACGATATCAGGTATTATGGTAAGATGAAGACGGACGAAGTCTGGCAAGATACTATCTACCCTGCGATTCTCGAGTTGTGTCAAAGGTCATACTGGAATCGTGTCTGGATCCAACAGGAGATCTATCTAGGTAGCGCGATCTACATCATATCACCTTCAGGAGGGTCTATAGATTACCGAGGATTTGATCACATACTCGGTCTAATGACGGGAGTCGATAGTCATTGTGGCAAAGATCTGTCATCGAAGATTCAGCAAAGTGCTGCCAACGCTCTTATCACACGGAAACGGCTGCCTACGGATTCAAGCCGTCTGATAACATGGTTGCGACTGGCATGCCGCAGAGGTCTCGAGACCTCCGAGCCCCGCGACCTCATCTATGCGATGCTCGGTATCAGCTCTGACTGTCAGGACGGCGGTGGTATTGAGCCAGATTACGACAAGCCATTGATAGATGTCTATCTCGAAACGGTCTTTTTCTGTGGACTACACAAGCCAGGGCAGGAGAACAAACGGTTCCGAAAGACACTGGCTGAGAAGCTTGAGCTGCCATGGGACAGTGATATGGAGACAAGGATCCAGGAATATTGTGAACAGAAAGCCACGGTGCGGCGGGAAGACTAGATCAATGCCATGTCGCTGGTTCTTCAGCAGACTGAGCATGCTAGGAGTAGACAAGCCTTTCGTGGTCATTGAATCAGTGTTTGCGCAAGCACTGGCGATCTCCAGGCTGAGTCATGGGCTCATCGTTGGGAATATATCCGTACGTTTTGACTCGTTCAATGCGACCCATCTTGTACTTCCGTCGATGCAGATTGAGTACAATGAGCTATAATTTAGTACAGTCTTATGATATACATCCACAAATGTCACTATCACAACAAATGTGCACAGATAGATGTCGTGAAATGTCATGAATTCTACAAAAACCCGGGAGCAAACCACCCAACACCTCAAACCCTCACCACCCCACCCCACTCAAGTATCCCAACGGCAGCGACGACCAACTGACTCCACCATCTCCTCTTCCTTCCTCTCCGCCTCCCCGGCCTCCTCCCACACCAAATCCCTCTCCCCACCCTCATCTCCCCACGCACCCTCCCCAAACCAGCTTCCCGCCCTCCCCGCCACGTCCTCCACCCACCACTCGAAGCAACGGGACTTGTAGAGCTCATCTTCGAGCTCGGCGACCTCTTCGGTGAACTTCTGCACCATGTGCAGTGCGAGGCGGCGGCTGTCGCGGCGGCGCCCGCCGATGGTGCCGTCGGCGCGGGGAGCCAGGACGACCCTCCAGGCGCGTTTGAGCTGGGATGTGAATTAGTTATAGTGCTTCTGGAAATTTGAGAAAGAAGAGGGATTGGGGAACGTACTTGTTGGCGCCTCTCCACCAGGTCAACTTCGATCTCGTTGGCCGCGCGGATTGGGCTTGTTTCGCCCTCGTAGTGGATTACGGCGGTAGCGACGTGCGGAATTGAGGAAGACATTATGTAGATTGTGTAGTATGGTTTGTGTGGGTGTTGTCGTTTTGGAGACAGTCTGGCTGCGCGACGAGATAGCTCTCCACCACCGTGCACCCTCACTGTCACCTTGTATTCTGCAAATCCCCGTTCACCGCGAGTAGATAGCTCTTATTGTACTACCTGTATACCCCAAACGGATCTATTGTCTCCAGAAAAGCGCACTGAAGCTACACTGGTAGACACCAGGCTACCTTGAACCCATGCTGTCACCTCCTCACGTTGTCTCGTAGCAGTCCGCACACACACAGTTACGCGACAATGAAGCTGCTACCGTCGATACCATAGTTCCTCGTCAATCTCCTCCCGTAATTCCTTGCCACCTCAAACCTTAACTTCCCCTCAGGATGCGGCTCGTGGAAATTGATTGGCTGCCTTGCCTTAATGACACCTCCCTCTCTCGGTGTGAAGCGCCATACAGAGCCATACACCTTCTCGGGTGAGAAGCCAACCGTGTTCATGGCTGAGAGGAATTCAGTCCATGGGACCTCACCAGGATGCGAGCTTGCAGACGGCTGGAAGAATATAGTCGAGAATGTGTGCTGTGTCTTTTTCCCAACGGTGAAGCGCGGTGTAGGCGAGGTGTTTGTTCCCTCAGAAGCGACTGGCTGCAAGTCTGCTGCGACTTCGACAGGCTCAGTGGAAGGATCATTCGTAATCCCCCTAGTCTTGCGCTTCTCGCTCCGAATTGGAAGGTCTACAGGGTCGGGCTGCCGCTCTGGTATGAGAGGCGTAATGTATTCCTGCAGGGCAGCATCTTTCCTCGCTTTGTTGGAAGATTTCGCCGGTTCGATCCAGTCTGGCGTCCGTTGTATTTGTCCTCTTGACGGCGCTAGGAATTCAAGAGTATCGAGGTGTTTTTTATCCAAATACTTCTGCACGTAAGCATCGAACTTGCTCCAAAGCTCATCGAGCCGTCGTTCAGTAGCCTGCATAATCTCTACGTTCTCTTTGGTTCTTCGCTTGCCGACAGGGTACGGCATTGTCTTTGGATGCCCGAGCTCACCAAGAGGGAGAAGATCATATTGGGGTTTGGCATCGTATTCTGGACCGCATTCCGGGTCTAAGATCTCGTTTAGTTCTTTCACAGAAACCTCCATGACTATCTCGTGATAGTCGCGGTCGGCTCCAACGGTACAGTACTGCTCATCAGGTTTGAAAGCTTGTGGGCACAGCAGGCGCAGGCGAGCTCGTAGTTCAAAACAAATAGCTAGGTCTGACACGAGCTATCAACGTGTGCGAGGTCAGTGGCTATCTCATACGCACTTCTTACAGGGGTAATGACTGACCTGTGCGACCAAGGGTGTGATTCTGTACTTCTGGTCCTTGTCCTGTTGTATGACTCGAGCCATTTCCCTGACTACAATATGAGGAACCCCAAGACCTTCCGCAGACCAGAGCAAGGAACACAGCCATATCAAATAGTCTTTGCCGAAAGAGCTCGGGTCTCTGAGGAGAGGTAATTCCTCTGGAACTGTGTGGTCACGTACGAACATGCCGCGCACTGGTGGTGAGCCAATGAAGCAACTCGGCAACCGTGAAGCTAGGCTTTTGATAAGGCGCATATCAAGTAAATCTTTCAAATCCGTGACAGCCTCTACCCATGCATCATGCGCTTCTTGGGTCTTCACCTGTGCCAACAGCAGCCGAACAACCTTGTGAAGAGCAGCTTGTGCAGCATGCCACATGACAAGATTCTCGTAACAATCCATGATGATCATGTATATCGTAATGTGCCAAAAGTCTTTTTGAAGGGCTGGATCAGTAAGATGGGGGCTTTTCCTTCCCTTCCTGTCCAATAGATGTGTAGGGCTGTGTTCATCTACATGCATCGAGTCAGCGTGATTCAATCGATGCTTATCACGGCGCATCCCACTTACAGAACTCGCTAACAGTATTAGTGAAATAGGATGGATCATCGCGCATAGCCCAGGCATGGTCCTTCCACTCATGTATCCTAGCCGCTATAGAGGACATGATTCTGTCAAAGTCGGTCCAGTGTGGGACTGAGTATGGGATTTCTTGGGCTAGTGCGAAAGCCGAGTCCCATCCATCTTCTTTTGTCGTCCTTATTGCGGGGGGCTCGGGCTGTTTGGGGGCTTTACGGAAGGTCTCAAGCGGCTCGAGGTCCTCGGGGGCTTGGAAGAAGGCCTTGATCCTTTCCAGACTAATTTCTACGTCGGGAAGTAGCTCAAGACAGATCTTGACGAGGAAGGCCATCAGAGGCTGCTGTATCTGTAGGACGATAAGAGCCTCGCTCGCGCGCCTCACATTCTTTTTGAGATTCCAGAGCGACCGGAAGCTTGACCGGATATCCGTATTGTAGTAGATCAGTAGGATGCATCGTTAGGTCATAACCCCATTCGCTGGGTTTGTATTTATCTTTCCATTCGCGTAATTTCTCCTCAAGCTCTGGACTGCGTGAACTTTCCCCATCTTCGGGTTCCTTGCCGTTGAATTCGTCTTCAAACACAGCTTTGTGTTCGCCTTCGTCATTTGGGTCGTAATATATCGGACGCACCTTGATAACATTGATGTTGCGACCGAGCTCTGAGCTTTGCCAGTCCGTCTCGGCAAAATAGTTGGGTGTACACCGTCCGCGAGAGTTCAGAAGTTGTAAAACATATGTTGGAGTCACAAGGTCCTCCGTATTGATATATGGCCATTTGTATACATCTTCTCTGATCGTGGAAGTGGAAGCGTCGTTGAATTCTCGTCTTTCGACTCTGTAGTAGTCGCGAAGGTCCGGGCGATACTGGTGCGGCATTTGCGTATGCCATGAGCGTTCAAGAATAGCTTTACGTTGAGTACGCGTCTTTTTGGTCCATCTCTTCCGTATAACGCCCTCGTATCTTGTCAAGATGGCGTTTAGTATGTAATAGTCGGCCCTTATTGACATGACCTTTCCATCCGTCTCTTTGTGAAATTCTCCATACGGCATTGGGACCGTGTGACCACTGTCAAGGAGCGGCCAGGGTCTGTCTTCGGGTTTTATCGGTTTGGGCTTGACGAAGTTGTTACATTTCCGTTTCTCCATAGCGGGTCGCGGTTCCTGGAGGTCAACTCCTGAGGGGGACGGAGGAAGCTTTCACGTTAGATCCTGCAGAAAAGCTGATTATTGCTGATGCGGCGGTAAAGTAATTAACTGTGTAGAGATTAGATAATAAAGCCAGTTCCAATCGACAAGCGCCGTGTTTACTGTTCTTGCGTTGTCGCGAAAAGGGAGCTGGGAAACGCGATAAAAGCGATCTGGTCGAATTGCTCGGGCCGACTGTCGCGCGTTAGCCCCGCATTGGAGATTCCTACCACAAAACAGGCCTCGAGCAACGGATCGCAATGCACATGTCTTCTGGAGTTTTGGGGATTGCGAAACTCCTCATTCGAGAGCGTTTCCTTGCGTACAATTCGTATAGATTGCGGAAGATACAACTATGTCGAATAGAGATGAATGCACGGTGCCCAAAGCAAATGCTACGACTGAATTAAAGCCATTCATGCCTCAACATCTCATCAACAACTCTTCACGCAGTGTTCCTCCCAATGCCAGCCTTATACCTAGCCAAGCACCTCTCCCTCGCAAACTTATGCTCAACAACCGGCTCGGGGTAGCCCTTCGCCTTCGCAATCTGCGCGGCCTTTCCACCCGCCGCATACGGATTATGTATAGCCGCCCCCTCCACCTCTGCCAGCTCCGGTAGCCATAGCTTGATAAACTCGCCCTGCTCATCGAACCTCTCCGACTGCGTCCACGGGTTGAAGATCCTAAAGTAGGGTTGTGGATCTACGCCTGTCGATGCGCTGAAGCCCCAGCCGCCATTGTTGGACGCGAAGTCGCCGTCGATGAGATGCGTAATGAAGTATTGTTCGCCGAGGCGCCAGTCGAGGAGGAGGTGCTTTGCGAGGAAGGAGGCGGTTATCATGCGCAAGCGGTTGTGCATGTAGCCTGTGTGATTGAGGCAGCGCATTGCGGCGTCGACGATGGGGTAGCCGGTCTTGCCTTGTGTCCAGGCTTGAAAGTGCGCGTCGTTGTACTCCCATTCGATGTTTGTGTATTCGAATTTGAAGGGCTTGTTCATGCTGGGGTTGTGTTAGTATGTTCATGGTATAGAGGGTATTGGTCGGTCATACCAAACGTAGGGCCAGTGTACAAGCACATGCCGATAGAAGTCCCGCCATGCGACTTCTCCCAACCAGCCTTTGACGCCATCCTTCCCTCCGTCGAGTCTCTTCGCGCTGTTGACGTCTCGAGCCATACGTATACTGGTTCGTGCCGCCAGCGTGCCAGCAGCGTGATGCACACTCACGCGTGCGGTGCTGTTCATCGCGGGAAAGTTGCGCGTGTCCTTGTATTTAACCACCTTTTCTTCCAAGAAGCGCTCGAGGCGATCCATAGCAGCGGCCTCACCCGCGGGCCACAGTTGCTGGAACCGTTCCTTCTCTTCTGCCGTCAACGCTTTGCACTCTGGTAGATCGGGGACTTTCGAGTCGAAGAGCTGGATAAACTTCTTGCGGAAGGCTGGAGGATTTCGTTGGGGCATGGGACGCTCACTCATAAGATGCGGATGCTCGTGCAAATGTGCAACCCATGATCGGAACCAAGGGCTGTACATCGCATATTGCTTTCCCCCTCCTGTCTTGAGACTACCAGGTGGTACCACGCAGTCGTCGTGGTGCGGCTCGAAGTTGATGCCCTTCTCCAGCATCATGCGTACCAAGCGCTCCTCCCGCCGAAGCTCGTCGGGTTCGTATTCCAAGTTGCAGAAGACGTTCTTCGCATTCCATTCTTCTGCCAACTCCACCAACCGCTTTGTCACGTTCTTTCGTTCGGGAATCGTTTCGATGTAGAGGGGGATGTTCAGCTCTTCGAGTTCCTTCTTGAGTGTCTCCACAGAGCGCAGTTCGAAATGACATTTTGGCGGGCTGACCAGGTGAGCCTCCCAGTCTTGCGGGCTCATGAACCAAACGCCTATCAGGCCTACTCCTTTCTTCTCCGCCAATGCTGCTGCTTCAGACAAGCCAGTATTATCTCCTATCCGCAGATCCCTCTTGAACCAGTGTACTACCGCGTCGCCATGTTGCCCTTTCTTCCCTTCTCTGATAGCCTTTCTTTTGTCTTTCGTATCCTCCAACGTCTTGTTCAGAATCTCGATCGGGCGCGGTACCTCATTCTGATTGTACAACGCGCATCGTTCATTGCTCATCTCAGCAGGATAGTACCGTCGATCCACGATGCCGGCTCTCTCTTCTGGTCTCGAATGGTCGAAACCTTCTTCCTCTTTCTTCACGGCCTCTCCAGGCGCCCCATTCTCGGTGTTCTTCGCTATAGAGTCAACGGGAGGCGCGTCTTTCGAGGTGGCTTTTGGGAGAGGTTTGGCGATGCGCGAGCGCTTGTTGGGGGCGTCGCCGGACACGTCGGTGTAGTTCTTCGCGGATGCCGCATTTGCGGGTATGCTCGCTTTACGTTTCGGTGGCATCGTGGCTAGTCTCTTTGCGGGGAAGGGTGGGTGTATGCGTAGGAATGGTTTGACGGATAACAGGAGCCTCGGACGCGAGAGCAGCATACGCGTTTCGTGGAACCGCAGAATGGGCGAGATGAGGATACCCTCCTGAAACAAGATTTAATGAAGCCATTGCCGTGTTAGCTCGACGCGTTCAGCTGTCGCGTCCCTTTACCACCGATCGATGACGCAGATGGTCCCTGGAACATGGAGAGTCCAGATCGATGCCAGATAAGCGAGCCGACCCCTGCATACTTCGAGCCGCACCATCACGTGTCCTCAGATACTTCACTCTCCCAACGCGACAAACAGTCAGCATTACAGGCTCCGCCAACATATCTCGCGATATTAGCACGCGAACCTAATTACGTATATTATGCTCTCACGACGCCTAATGCAGCGTTTTGAGCGACCGGCTCGCCTTTAGAAAGGATCATCACGCCTGCAACCTTGGCCTTGGCCGACTGTCTTCGTTCCTAACGATAGATGATTGGAACAGATTCGAGCATGGCGTAAGCAAGATATCCACCGCCCGATGTGACTTCCAAAGACTCCGCTATACAACAACGTCCCGAGGTCGGTGAGCCTTGGCCGCCCACAAGTCGACTGTGCCCAGGTTTTAGAGATCGTATAGCACGAATTCCAATAGGCCTACTGTCAAGAGCCTGACCCACTTCTCGCTCGAGGTGCCCGACCGAATAGTCATGGCCATCCGTTCCGAGCTCGCTTCGGGCCGACTACCTTCTATCAAGGGAGTACGCGAGAAACGTCTTTGGATGCTCGACTTGGTTGCCGTTTAATGCTGTTATGTGTAGCTAGGTAGGTACATAAGTAGTTCGAAAACCTTTCGGTAGGTGCTTCCACAACAGGCACATCGTTTTATTCCCCATTTACTACTTCCCCGACATGCTGAGCATCAACGTCAAAGCATTGCTTCTGTATCTTCTACCAAACATAACAAGGGCCTCTACCCTCTACCCGACAGCCAAAACAACCAACGGAACCCTCACTGGAATACACAACCCAGACTACAACCAAGACTTCTTCCTCGGCATCCCCTATGCCCAACCCCCAACCGGGCCCCTCCGCTACCGCCGCCCTGCGCCTCTTACCCATCCCTTAGGACAGTTCGATGCAAACAATTATGGACCAGGATGCATTTCCACTTCCATAAACCTACCTGTATTCTCACAAACCTCGCCATCCTATCTCGAAAGCGAAGATTGCCTAACGCTCAATGTCGTCCGACCCGCTGGTCTCAACGAAGGCGCTAAACTTCCCGTTTTACTCTTCATCCACGGCGGTGGTTTCCAAGAAGGCAGTGGTGGGGATCAACGCTATAACATGTCTTTCCTGGGGCAAGAATCAGTCACAGTCGGCGCGCCCATCATCGGCGTCACGATTAACTACCGGCTATCTGGTTTCGGGTTTCTGCCCGGTAGTGCGGTACTGGAGTCCAACGTCGCGAATCTAGGTCTGCACGATCAAAGACTGGCGCTTTGGTGGGTGAGGGAGAATATTGCTGCGTTTGGTGGAGATGCGGAAAAGGTTACTATTCAGGGAGAGTCGGCGGGTGCGATGTCAGTTGGACATCATCTTGTTGCGTATGGGGGACGCGATGAGGGTCTTTTTCGCGCCGCGATTGTGCAGAGTGGTGGACCGGCGGTTGATGCGAGGGGGATGTCGGTGCGAAATCAGGACATCTTTTTCGACAACTTGCTCAGACAGACTGATTGTATGCTCGAGGAGGACACGCTCGACTGCCTGAGAAGTCTACCCGCCGAGGCGCTCAAAGCCGTTTCCCAACATCAATCTTTGATCCCAGTTCAGGACGGCGAGTTCTTTAACGGAAACTCGCGGATGGCTCTGAAGCAGGGCAGATTTGTACGGGTACCTATACTTGCTGGTGCGAACACGAATGAGGGTACTTCTCTCACCATAAGTCAGGGTTTGAAAGGTATAAGTGACCCCACCCAGTTCCGGGCAGTCGTTGCGGGATGGTTAGGTTCTAGCATAGCCAGCACAACGGTGGATAGAATCGCTGCTGAATACCTCGAGCGGATGTCGCCTGCAGATCTACAGAATTCCCTCGGCACTGTGCTGCCATCATTCCGCCCAGAGTACGGCAGTCTCTACGGAAGGACTACCTTGTTCGTAGGCGATCATATCTTCATTGCTGCAAGACGCTTCGCCACAGAGACGTGGGCTGAATATGGCGTTCCTGCTTACAGCTACCGTTTCGACACCGTGGGGAGCGGTGTTTCGGCCGAGACTCTAGGCGCCGCTCACTACACGGAGATTCCGTTCGTGTTTGGCAATGTCGATGGTGTTGGACATGAAGTCAACTTTCTTGCTTCCAACTCTACGGAAGAACGCGACGACTTCGTCAGGCTCAGTAAGCGCATGTGCAGGATGTGGTTGAGCTTTGTTAACGAGCTCTCGCCTAATGCTCATTATGCTCTGGACTCTAGCACAACCTGGCCTGTGTACACAAAAGAGAGCGCAAGGAATATGCTCTTCAGAAAAGGCGGCATCAGTCTGGAAGAAGACACTTGGAGGGCGAGTGCGATTAGTCGGATGAACAGCGCTGCCATCGGTTTGGAAGCCTAGCAAGCTGTTTATACAGAGTTTGTAAATTCGATGGTAGCCCACGCCTGCGACATGAACATGTAGTCAACACGTCCTCGCGAACATGATGCATTAAGATGAAAACATAGGCTAGTGGGTATCATCGAAAAGTCTGGTATAGCCTTCTACCGGTAGCAAAAAGGTCGTAAGATAAGAGTGAATGTAGCACGTCCTCGGCAACACGGGGGAGCATAGTGCAAATAGATCAAGTTGATGACAATATACCCGGCATAAGAGCCGGGCAAATGCGACTTTTCAGTAGTATTACTATAATACACAGGCTTACTAACAGCCTTGATAATTCGCATCGTTCAGTAAAAACTCAAACCCGCCCATCTCAGCCCAGCACAGCTCTCTATCGCATGAAAACAATCAGTCAATCAATCAAGCACGTATATACTGTCATCGCTATCCTCGCCTCCATCTTCATTACGAGGCGACAATCGCTTCTAACGACTTCCCCTCCTCTCTGGGGCTGGACCGGGAACCATGACTTTGAACGGCATCTCACGACCCGCAGCACCTCCGACATTCATCGGTGCGTACGGACTGAAATGCTGTCCTTGCTGCTGCTGGTGTTGTTGCTGAGATGGGGCGGGTGCCAGTACTTGCTGTCCGTTTTGGCCGGTAGTAGCAGCACTCCTAGGCAGTGACTGGCCACTGCTCTTGGGTCTGCCTCCGGCTGGGCTCTGGGGACCGTACGGGCTGGGGTATGTGGGCATGTTCATGGGTGCTGGGGCGAGTTGGCGGGGACCTCCAAACGGTCCGCCTGCTGTGCTCGGGGGTTGGGTAAGGGGAATTCCGCTGTGGGCGTGGGGCGCGTGATGGGGATATGGGCTAGGGAAAGAACCAGTGGGAAGGGCCGCAAGTGGCGAGTACTGCATCATCATGTGTTGTGGTGGAGGCGGTCCGCTGAGGTACATGTAGTGTTGCGGCGGGCCTTGGGTATACTGCAGGTATGCTTCTGGCGGAGGGTGATGTGGACTGTGTTGAGGAGCGTGCTGTGGATGGTGTATCGGAGATGCTTGCTGGGAATGCGAAGGCTGCGATTGCGGTGTAGCGCCAGTCGCCGAGCCTTCAGACTGCCGGGCACCCTTCTGCGTCGCGGATTTTTCGCGCGGATCGGGTGTTGGGGTAATTCCGGCCTGCGCTTCCTCCTCGCGCTTCTTTGCCTTGCGTTCGGCCCACCACATGGTCATGGACTGACTGCGCTTCTCTGATTTTACGCGCGGTTTCCGTCGCGAGCCTGACGCTGGGGATGAGTCGTCCGCGTAGCTGTTGATGGCTGTATACTGACTAAGGGGGGCAGTGAGCATGTACGCGTCAGGAGTACTGGATTCGCTCGGATGCACAAGTGGTACCTCTGTGCTGGGCGCAGAATACTGTAGTGTGCCTTGAAAAACCGTCTCAGCAGAGTTCGGTGCCATGATGGGTATGCCTTCCGGGAACGGCTGGGCATCAATAGTAAACTGACCTTGACCTTCACTCATTGAGTTCAGTGCTGGTGGTGGAGCGTTTGGGCCATGTGCCGAGGGGGCTGGGGTTCCCGATTCGCTCGTCTTCTTTCGTGGGCCTTTCTTTACTCCGAAGTCACTGCGGCGAGCTACATTCTTACTACCGGCTGGACGTCCACGCTTGGGGTTAGCATCTGAATACTCGTCTACGTCCATGGTTGATGAGTCCTCGTCCCCGGAACTACCGACGACTGATTCCTCTCTCATTTCCTGGATGCGTTGATGGAGCAAGTTACTAGCCGTCGTCCGGGCTCGCTTTACGCCTCGTCCTTCTGGTTCTGGCGTCTCCGAAGTTGGCTTCGCGAATCGACTAACACCCTTCTTGCGCGCGCCGCCCCAGCCGTTGTGCTTCTTGGGGGTGTTGGCACCAGTTCCTGTGTCAGTACCGTCAAATTTGCGGGTGGCTCTTCGTTGCCGCTTGGAGGGTCGACCATCACCGTCTTCTTCGTCTTCCTCTTCACTGGGAGCTGCCGACTCAAGCTGGTCCCGTGTACGACGCGTGCGCAGTTCTCTCTTGCCACCCTTGTCCGCGCCTGGTCGCTGTAGGAAAGGATCCTGACAACCGGGTGGCTTCTTTGGGTCGTAGATGTAGCCATAGAGGTCGGCCTCTTTCATGTCCTCGAAGACTTCTGGAGCCAGCGGGATACGTCCACCGTTACAAGCCTTCTTGGCTGGATGCATGTGAGGTGCAGTCTAGAATTGTTAGTGGATACAAATGAGAGGATGACAGCAACATACCCTTGCGTCCAACACGAGATACTCGTCCTGCCAAGCTTTGAGGATCTGTTGCGTGTTCTGCGTCAGAGCGTAGAGATTCTCAGTACTCCGTTGCGCTGCTGGAAACTTCGTCAAGGCGGCAATAGCAGCTTGTACGTCAGTCATCGGCTTGAAGCGCTTCTGCAAGAGGTAGTCTGCTCTATCTTCGCACTCGGCTTCGATCGGAGAAGGCGCGTCTTCGATGAAGGGGTCGGGAAGATCTGACTCGGAGAGCATATCCTCCTCAGGTTCTAGCAGTCTTGGGACTGCAGACTCAGCGGGCGTCGATGCAGAATCTCGCGGTGTCTGTGAGGCTGACTCTGGCAGCGCGATCTTGGGTACCGCAAGCTTGGTGGACCTCCTAGACGTAGGCTCTGGTCTTGACTCGCGTGCCGGCGCTGATGTATGTGAACCGCCTTCGAGTGAGTCTTGACCGGGTGGCGCAGAACCTTGGGGTGTTCTGGATGGTTTCTGTACGACGTCTATGCGATCATACTCGGCCTCGCTCTCGTCATCCTCAATGGCTTCTTCGTTCTCATCATCAGAGCTATGCAGACGGTTGTTGTTGAGTAGTCGCATAGATGGCTTGGCGGTGCCGTTGGGTGTGCTCTGATTGGATGGCTGATCATCATCATCTTCTGTAAGTGGAAACATGGCAGCATTGCGAGATGCTTTTGATGGCGCAGATGAGGTCCCTCTTGAGGTACCGCCGCGACCACGTCCTCCTCGACTGCCTCTGCCGCGACCGCCTCGACCGCGTCCGCCACGTGAGCCTCGACCACCGCGTCCACGACCTCTTGGCGCTGGCGGAGGCGCAACAGGCACTTCAACCTCACTCTCTTCGGCACTCTCATCTTCAGACTCAGAGGCTTCTTCCGGGGTAGGTGAGCGCTCTGGAAGTGCGCCAACGATAGATTTGCGTTCTTTTGGGAGTTTTCCATGGTGCTTCTTCAAACCGTCAAAGAACTCGGGTGACAGGCCAAAGACCATGAACAACGGGTGCTCGTAAGATGCGTAAATCTCGGACGCGGACGGCGCCTCGAATGAATTACCAGAAATGTTGGAAGCTGAGCGAGTTGTCTTCCTAGTGATGGTAGGACTCAGTTTGGTGGGACTGAATGCTGGTGCAACCGTGTCTGGCGCATCTGGTTCTGATGGGGCTTGTTTTGCTGCTTGACCACGGGTCCGGGAAGGCGTGTCATCTTGCTGCGAATTGCGACGTGTGGCACCGCGCGTAGCCGCACCCCGTGGACGTGGCATCAGGAAGATACGCGGGGCCAATGCAAGTAGTGAATGTTGTGTTGAGTTTGATGTGGGTGTACCTGTCGGGACAATGTCTCCATGTAGGGGCCGAAGGGGCGTAGCGCGAATCGCAAGCCTTCAGGGTGACAAAAGCTGTGAGCGAAGAAGATGAACAGAACCTTGCGCTTCCGCAAAGAGCGCGCGCAAATAAAAGCTAGCAGGTGATAGAGGGTATCTTGAAAAGGAAATGGGAAATGGAATAGTCAGTGAATCGAGTGTGATGATCTTTGTTACGGGGCGTGGCTGCTTCAGCAAAAGCGAGCCGAACCATGATCGCGCTTGGCGCATGCGCAGGCAGCCAATGACATCAACACGCTAAACTGACTGGCATCTAGCTGTCAGATGGTCCAAACAAGACGGCCATGACTTGATGTTTGCAGTGATATCCGCCGACTGTATACGCCTCCGCTCTCTCAGTGACTCGTGACCGTGGCCACTATCACCTTGAACTAGTCTCCTCATCTTCCATCCATCATGCCGCCCAAGACAGCTGACGAGGAGCTCGCGGAACTGGAAGCTCTGGCTGGAGAGACTCCCGCACCCCCGCCGAAGCATGCCAAAGGGTCCCGCGCACCACGCCAGAAGATCCAGCGGCAAGAGGATGAAGATGCTCTGAAGGACCTGGACGAGCTGGAGCAATTGGGCAAGGCTCAACCAGCAGCTCCCCGCCAGATCAGCCGCCCAAACACACCCAAAGTAGCCTCGTCGTCGACTACATCCAGCGGCCGCCGCGCACCAGGCGTAGCTACTCCCTCTTCCACTGGATCAGCACGTACAAGCGAAGACAACCGACCTTCAGTGCCGAGGAAATCAGGGGAGAGTACTCGTTCGTACCACCAGAGCTTCGCGCCAACCCGAGAGGAGCCCGCCAAACAACAAGCACCAGAGCCCCTGGAGGAGAAACAGTCGGGAAGCTCTTGGTGGGGAGGTGGATGGGGAGGACTTGTATCCACAGCCACTGCAGCAGCAGAGACAGCGAGGAAGCAAGCCGAAGCCGCCTACCAAGAGATTCAAAAGAACCAAGAAGCCCAGCGATGGGCGGAGCAAGTACGGGGGAACGTTGGTGCTCTTCGCGGCATTGGTACAATTCCATTTCCCACCATGTCATCTCAGTCTAACATGCTACAGGAGGTGAACTCGGCAAGCGTGCCGTGCCTACCTTTACCAACATTCTAAACACCCTCGCACCACCCATCTCACAGCATGAACGCCTCCAGATCCATATCACACACGACCTCATCGGGTACCCCTCGCTCGACCCCCTCATCTACCAGACCTTCGCCGGCGTCATGGCACAAGTAGAAGGCGGAGACCTCATGGTCATCCAACGCGGCTCCGAGTCAACACAGCGCGGATCATTGGACGGCTACCGGGGCGGCGGTGGGGGCTGGAACGACGGGCCATGGTGGCGACACACCGACAAGCGCGACCTCTCAGTGGTCAAAGGGCTTGTAGAAGGCACAAAGCTCGCACGCGTCAGCGCAGAGTCCTACGCCAACGAGTTCTTCGGTGCAAGAGGAGGCGTTGAAGAAGCCGCCAAGCAAGCGACAGAGGTCCTAAGCGAAACAAACCCAGTCAGGAGCAGCGACATCTTTATTGCGATCCAAGCTATCAGCTATCCCGTACAAGACGAACTCTTCGCTACATCCTCCTCAGAAGAAAAGTCCGATGTGGAAGAACAAAAGGAGGACGGGGAGGAGGTGGCTTTCGCTATCTACCTGCACGACCCTATCCACGGCATCTCTTTCAAGTCCATCAGCCAGTCTTTCCCGTCGAAATGGGTCGACTGGTTAGATGCGCCGGCCAATACCGAGGCTGAGGGCGAGGAGCAACAACTACCGCAGGAGATTTACGAGATTATCGAGAGCGGTGGTGTGGATCCGCGGGAGTGGGTTAGTGAGTGGATGGAGGAGACGATAAACTTGAGTGTGGGTATCGTTGCACAGCGCTATGTAGCAAGAAGGATGGGTGTCGGAGAGGGTGGTTTGGGCAGAGGAAAGGCGAGGGAAGCTGTGGTGGATGCTGGGGGTGGTGAAGCTGCACGAGCGGGCATCATTTGAGGGCGTGGCATGGACTTGATCGTTTCTTTTATTTCTCTGGTCGCGGCAAGGCGCTGGGATATGCTACCTGAATACTCACTGGATGAGCTCGGCATTTGCCTCGCGAATAGACAATGTTGTTCAACACATGATCTCTTCGGCTTCCATCCCATGTCCTTCAAGTATGCCTTCTGTCGTTGATTCCTTCCGGTAATCACTAATGGCCTGGCTTCTATCGCGTGATACCGATCGCACAAGGCTGATCTTTTCACACGCTGAACACCATTCTCGCTGTCCATGAAGCCGATCTCGCGTCGGGGCGTATTACTTCATGTCACACCTCCGAAGCCCCAGGTCATATCCTACGCGCCTTGCCAGATATCCTCCACGAAGTCCACATTTCAACCACTCTTCTTCTTGTCACCGGGCTCCCTCTTATCCCTCTTTCCCCCCTTGAGGATCTCGAGATGCCCCGCCTTCTGCGCAAGCATCTTCTCTGTATTGCCCACGAGCCCTGAACTGCTCTTGTGCTTGATCTTGTTTTGTGTGATGATGGACGCTTTCTTGGGCTTGATGACGCGGGCGCCGGTTTGTTTGCGCGCGACCGAGGATCTAGAGATCAAATGTTAGTATGCGTGTTGGGAGAACAGTTTGCGTTTGGTGGAGTGTTGAGCGCGGAGATAGAACGCACTTCTTCGGAGGAGCGGCCTTGGTCTTCTTGATTGCACCTTGGGCCATTGCGACTGTCGGTATTAGACGCGTGCGTGGGGTCGAGTATGCGGAGGTTTGACAAAAGTCGGAGCGTCTTGGACTCGCTTCCGGAACGGTGAAGGAAGGCTTAGTCGGGTGATTGATCTCCGAACACGACTAATCACACGATAGTATCCAAATCTCCACTAATCGAGTCGGACGTTGCTGTGGCGCTATTGGGGGTAAGACGGCTGTCTGTTTCTTTGGATAATTCGCGCTTCCAACATTTTTCGCGATGCTTGGCGCCCTGCCGCCGCACTAGGCCCAGAGCGGTTTGAGCAGTTTGCGGGGGACTGCATTTAGCCTTTTCACCCACCGTGGGGAGTCCGCTCCATGAGCCCGTAGACCCGTTTTCCAAGCCCTTTCGCGCTTCGCACCCTGCGTTTCTTTTGGAAATCTCCGTGTGCAGAGAGGGGGATCAGGCGGCTACCTACCTGTCATCAAGGGAAAGCCTGGCGAACTGGCACGGAACAATTTCTGCGTCGTCTCAGCATCCCAGAGATGGTATCCGATTGTCTGGACGCCGAGTTGGTACCAATTAATCGCACAGCGCCTTTGCTACCGACTTTCCATGTGCAGTGCATGGATCCGGATATTTGCATGCTGCACGTGTCCTCCGACCTACCGCCAAGACTGCTTGCTTGCCCTTCTAGAAGTCTTGCAGCGACAAGGCGACTGGCTCATGTACGTCACGTCAATTTAGCCATAGAACAACCGGTCCCGGCTGGGGTAAAGCGACTAGGGTCCCTCAATATCGGGCCGTTGGCCAGCAACTGCATGCTGTTCCTGGATATGCAGTCGCTGCTAGACAGTTCACAGGAAGGTGGTCATTCGATGTACGAACATGCACGATGACTACTCGACTAAACGGTTAGGGCGGTGGGGATCTCTTGGTAACTATGGGGTTACCGTCGTGGCTATCACCGCGGCGTATGGTCTGGGGAAGCCATTCAAAAGCTGGGGATTCTCCGCGTTTTTGTTCACTGTTCAGGACGTTGCTCGACTACTGACCAAGCCATCATGGAGCTCTTCTCTCGCACCGTGGTCAGCGCCCTGTCGCTTTCCATCGCCTTTGCTGGCTCGGCTTCTGCTCTCGAGGCCTTCCGCAAGCCTACTGTTTCTTCTACAGAAGGCGATGGCTCTTCTCTTCTCGCCGCTCGTGGCTCTCCTGTCAGCATCCATGCTGATGCTGCGGATTGGCCTGGTGTTCTGCGCGCTGCTCACGACCTTGCTATCGACTTCGGACGCGTTACCGGTACCAATGGTACCCTTGTGACTTCGGGAACGCCAACGGCTAACGCTTCCATGATCTTCAATGTCACTGGAATCAGCGAAGACTGGAGCGTTAGTGGCAGTGCTGCGTCCAACTCATCTGCTGGCACCATCATCGTGGGAACCATTGGCAACTCAAGCCTGATCGACGAGATGATCGCCAGCGGACAGCTCGACGTCAGCGAGATTGAGGGTCAATGGGAGTCCTACGTTAGTGCGGTGGTGAAGCAGGCTGGAAACATGACTGGCGACGCACTTGTCATTGCTGGTATGTATCTCGAGATTGGTCTTGAAGCTCGACGCTAACTCTTTATAGGCAGCGATCGCCGTGGTGCCATCTACGGTATCTACGATATCTCTGAGCAAATCGGTGTCTCGCCATGGCACTGGTTCGCCGACGTACCTGCGAAGAAACACGACTCCATCTACATGCTCCAAACCACCAAGGTCCAGAAGACTCCATCTGTCAAGTACCGAGGTTTCTTCATCAACGACGAGGCCCCTGCTCTGACCGGCTGGGCCAACGACCGCTACCCTCAGTCTCCGTATGGCGCACCTTTCGGAGCTCAGTTCTACTCCAAGGTCTTCGAACTGCTGCTCCGCTCCAAGGCCAACTACCTCTGGCCGGCTATGTGGAACGGCATGTTCAACGTCGACGATGCCCGCAACCAGCCGCTTGCCGACGAGTACGGTATCGTGATGGGAACATCTCACACTGAGCCCATGGTTCGTGCCACCCAGGAATGGAGTAAGGTCGCCAAGGGTGCCGAATCTGGCTGGTCTTGGGCGACCAACAACGCTACTCTCTACGACTACTTCATGGAGGGTGCCGTGCGCGCTGCTCCCTACGAGAACGTCGTCACTGTCGGTATGCGCGGATACCACGACACTGCTATGTCTTCCGATGTCCAAACCTCGGTCCTTGAGGCCGTGGTCGACGCTCAGCAAGACATTCTCACCAAGGTTCACGGCGACGCGTCCGAGGTTCCTCAGATGTGGTGTTTGTACAAGGAAGTCCAGGACTACTTTGAGGCTGGCATGAAAGTTCCCGACTGGGTTACTCTCCTCTGGACTGAGGACAACTGGCAAAACATTCGTCGTCTCCCAGTTGGCGACGAGAAGAACCGCTCCGGAGGTGCCGGTGTCTACTACCACTTCGACTACGTCGGTGACTCCCGCAACTACAAGTGGCAAGATACCATCCAGCTTCAGAAGACTTACGAGCAGATGAAGTTGGCCAAGGATCGCGAGGCTGACCGTATCTGGATCGTCAACGTTGGTGACATCAAGCCCGCCGAGATCGCCATCAGCCATTGGTTCGACATTGCCTACGACATGGACTCTTACAACCACGACTCAGTGCCTGAGTGGCTCGCTGGATTCGCCGCCCGTAACTTCGGTGAAGAGCATGCTGAGGAGATCGCCGAGATTATGGACGAGTACGGTTTCCTCGCCAACATGCGCAAGTTCGAATGGGTCGAGCCCTCTTCCTTCAGCGTTCTCAACTACGAGGAGGCTGACCGCATCCTCGCTCACTGGAAGTCACTCGCCGAACGCGCCAACAAGGTTAACGCAGCGCTTTCTCCTGAACAGCAGCCCGCATTCTACGAGATTATCCTGCACCGTGTCCTTGCTGGAGGAAACCACGTTGATGTCCAAGTTTCGGGTGCGAGGAACATCATCTACGCGCAGATGGGCCGCAACAGCGCCAACAGGTGGATGCAGCGTGTGATTGATGGCATGAACAAGGATCACAACCTCACCCGCCTCTACCACACTCAGCTCAACGGCAAGTGGGACCACATGATGGACCAGACCCATCTTGGTTACCAAGGATACTGGTAAGTTCTGAATGATCTAGCGATGGAAGTCATGATGCTAACCCAATCGCAGGCAACAACCTATGCGCCAGTCCACCCCCGATCTCCGCTGGGTACAGACTCAAGAACGATCCCTAGCCGGCGACATGGGCATCTCCGTCGAAGGCTCGAATGCCACCATTCCCGGTGATGACATGTGGCACAGTAACGGCGGGGGTTCACTCACCCTGCCGGCCATGACACCCTTCACTCCCAAGCGCTGGATCGAGATCTCACACCGCGGCACCGGCGCCTTCAACTGGAACATCAGCGCCGACCCCTTTGTCACTCTCTCCGAAGCCAAGGGAACCATGCAGCCCAACGACGAAGACATCCGCATCTACGTCGATGTAGACTGGACCAAGGTCGAAGACGGCTTCGGCGCCCAAAGCAAGCTCAACTTCTCCAGCTCCACCGACTTCGGCACGCAGGGTGGAAACCCACAAGTCATGTTCATGGTAAACAAGACGTCCATCCCTTCCAACTTCAACGCCGGCTTCGTCGAATCCGCGGGCCAACTCGCTTTCGAAGCAGAGCACTACACGCGCTCCACCCCTGGTTCCTCCGACAACGAATACATGGTCCTCCCCAAATACGGCCGTACCATGTCTGGCGTCAAGCTCGCGAACAACCTAGCCGAGGGCCTTGACTCCTCCAGCGCACCAAGTCTGGAATACGACTTCGTCACCTTCACACCCACCACCAAGGCCAAGGGCCTCAACGTCACCCTCATCCTCACACCCACCCACAACATCAACCCCAAAGTGCCCCTCGCGTACATCGCCCAGATCGACAACAAAACCGAAGCCCGCCGCCAGTTTGTCATCGATCAGCCGCAGCCCAACTTCCCTGTCGGATGGGGTGTTGCGGTCGCTGACAGCGCGTGGAAGAACACGACTAACCATGGTGAACTTGCACCTGGTAAGCATACTCTCAAGCTGTGGCTTGTAGAGGCGAATGTTATTCTGCAGAAGGTTGTCCTGGATCTGGGTGGTGTTGTTTACAGTCATAATGGGCCGCCGGAGAGTTATCGCGTTGGCGGGAATGCGACTATGCACTAGATAGTGGTGCTAGAGGGGATGAAAAGGATAATATGTGAGATGGATTCAGTATTGTAATGTGTTCATCCGCAATGAGTTGTCGAAACATTTGTGTGTGTGTGTGTGTGAGGTTGTACGAAATGCGATAACAACGGACCGATGCGGTAAGATTAGCTGAGTTGTCGCCATGCCATGGCGGACCGATTCTTGTACGAATGGGGGAAACGCAGCTCGAAGAAGACACAGTATACCTTATATATTGATGGAGAAGTGAATATTCTCATGCCCATGCATCGCTATGCTACACCCCGAAGAAAGACAATCCTGAACGCCAACACAATATGCCGCCACCTATCTTGTATCCAAATTCTCAATCTGCCTCTATACCCTCCAAGTCTCCCATGCACGTTCTTCCCCCTTCCCTAAGCAACACCACCAGCCCCTCCCCCCGCACCCCCAGCACTCCCTCCCACATCACTTGTAGCACCCCCTTTCCCCGCTTTCCTCCGCATGCTCTTACTGCGGTGTGAATAGTAATTGCTCGGTTCCTTCATCTGCTCCTTGTCGAGCCGCTCTTGGCTGGGTTGCAGTTTGCCGTCTGTGGCGCGTTCTTTGACTTTGCTGACTTTGGAGCCCATTGTAGAGGTTGTGTTGGGAGCGTTGGGGTTGATGGAAATTGGTGTGGATGTTGAGGTAGTGGTGGGTGTGGTTTGCGCGTACGGTGGAGAGGTCGTAGAGGGAGAAGAGTGGGTTTGGTCGGATAGGATGATTACACTGGTATCTCGTCAGTTCAATTCCAGCAATAAGTCGCGTGTGCGCATTCGCGTAAGGCTGTCTTCTCAATCCACTTACGGCGGTGCAGGATGAGGTTCCGGTTCCGGTTTACTTGGAGGTCTCGATGTCGCGTCGGTAGATTGAGATTCTTGAAGTGGGCGTTCAGGTCTAGAAATAAGGAGAGAGAGTTAGGAATTGGACCGACAAAAGATACGAGATGGTTGCACAAACTACCTAGGTAAGATTGGGCATACGTACGGCAGGGATGACGTAGGTGGGTGCGGCTGGAATGGCGGATCGGCAGGGTCTGGTACCTGGAAGTGGGGCGCAGGTGCTTTACCGGATTGGGCGAGGATGATGATTCTGGGTTGGAAATGGTTAATGGGGGTGATATTGGTTTGGTGGTAGTCGTCTGAAGATGGTTGAGTTCGAGATGGAGGGGGTGGGAACTTACGGTGGTGCAGCTGGCGGTTCTGGGTCGTTTCCACCATCCTTCATCTCTCCAGAAGTTGAGTATGGTTCTCGGTGTGACATTTGACTTGAGTACTGAGACTGCTGAATGAAGTGCCAGGCAACTCTGTATACTTCGAGTAGAAGCTTGTGTGCCTCTATGACAGAGACTGTGTGTATAACGGCGATGGAAGACTGCTCGATGTTGTTGATAGAACTAGATCGGGCTTGAACGGAAGTCATAGCAAGAGCCGGCGAGAAGAAGATATCCATGATGTTCATTGAGTTGATGGCCCTAACCGTGCCCCATCCCGACTCTTATATATGATATGAGGCCTCTCATCTCAGCACGAGCATGAGCGCATTTCCAGCGATCTCCCACCGACTCACAGCCGGAGTCATGGCTGTCGCAGCACTCTACTCTTTCGATCTCGCCCCATCACCCATCTAGTGCTCATCTAACGAGTAGGAATGGTCGTTTCCACGTTGAAGAACGCGCTAGAGCAACGTTGAAAGCTCGGCCAGAACGTGTAGGGTCGGATATAGGGCTAAGTTTGGTAGCCGTGACCCGCTTGACAGCCTGTATAGGTAGTATCATTGGATCGACCCGGTTTTAGTCAGAGGGAAGCCTGAGGAGGCTCAAGTTAAGCTTTCTGGCATGTGTCTCAGAGGTGACCCGTTTCGGTGTCTAAGTGCGAGGCAGTTCGGTCAACCGAGTCGGCGACTCGGAAGACTGAATTAGGTGCATCAGGCGAGCCATTGCCTTTAGTCGGGTATAGATTCATTCTTCACCTTCAACCAAGCGGATCGCATCGCGGGCGATGCTGTAGTGATGTGGCTGTGCGTGGGATATGGGCATCGTGTAATTTAGCTAGGGCGGTTAGAACTTCCGTTCGTGGGAGGCCTGGTAGGCCGAGCAGGAGGCTTACTCTGGATCGCCACCATGGCGGTGTTGTGCATGATAAGGCCCTCAATCATCTGTGATATCGAGGGAGAGAGAAAGAGGAAATTGCGACATTAGTGACGGGATTGGGGACGTGGAGATGTTTGGCCGTTCGCGCATGGCGCATGGTGCCCCGCTTCAGCCCTGGAGGTCCACAACACCGGGCTGGTTCCTGGCCGTGGCCGCCACGGCCGCCCACCCAATTCCCGCCGCTACTCTGCAAACCCACCAACAACTGCATCATCATCCTCATTCTCAGCACACTCGTGACTCTAGCTCTCTCATCATCTCTCCTGACTAATCGACCTTTTGCCGCGACGTTCAATGCCGCGCCCTTCCTATTGCTCACACGTCTCTGCCACGGCGGGTTCCGACATCCATCTCTCTGGGAGCACCAACGCCCAGATCGACCACAGTGCCAGGGATCATGGGCTTATCTCAGCCATAAATAGAGAGCTTCGCGAAACTCCAGGATTGGTCTCAGGACCAGACTTGTGACTCGTATCACAATCATGTCTGCCTCGCCCTAAGGTGAACGGTCGTTGGGGGCCAATGGCAGTGCACGCGGAGCCGAGTTCCAGGACCACCACCAAGCCTCGAGCAGCCTCGTCTGTGTTACTGCTTATATAATGCACGGCGAACCGACTGTGACGTCTTGACTGGTTAGGAACCCAGCAGGTAAATTATTCCAAAAGATTCCAGACCATTGACATGAGTGCCGATCGATCCCAGCTCCGACCGGTCAGGTCTCTCGTCTTACAGATTAGCACACCGTTTCTACCGCGCATGCATTTCCTGTCACGGGAGCGTCACCCTTCGCGCTTATATATCAGCTCTGACAGCTTGAGCGCAGTATGTCAGTTCAACGGGAGTAGATAAACGTCCGTACGAGCATGCGCAACAGCATGCGATAACATTACCAATACCAAAGTAAACATGACTCCAAACTCCATGGAAGGTCGAAATTCCAAACACTAGTCCATTCTCAGTAGTCCATCAGGCCAAGAAGCTGACAGAAGCACCATCAAGGCGATGTAGACGCGCTACGTCCGATGATCCAGTCTTGTTTCTCGAAACTATCCCGAAAGAAACGCCCTCACATCTCAACGCCAAAAGCTAATCAGCCCGCCACTTCTCAATCACCACACCCATTCCCCTCAAACCAGTACCCTAGAAACAAAGCGGAACCCCAGAATTACAAGTGCACCCGGCCGGACAATTAAACCCGGGCACCGTAGTTTCCGGCTGCGGCGGCTGCGTCGGCTGCGGCGGGTTCGTCGGCGGCTCAGGAGCCGACTCATCAGGTCTATAATTCTTCTTGAGCGCCTCTACAATCAAATCGCCCATCTCTTTATGCCCATCCTGCGTGGGATGCAACGTCCTGGCGATACGCCCATCTTTACTACCACTCCCACCATCTAGAGGCTGCGGCTCAACCTTCCATTCCATCCATAGACTCGAATTCGCAGGGTCGCGAAAGGTAAGGACGGTGTATTGATCCTGCTGCACGGCTTCGCCCTCGGGGTAGCCATGTAGTTTCTCGACGATATCCTCGGGTGGGCCAGGGACGCCGGGGTCGTCGCTAGACTCGTACGTAGTAGCTTGTTCGCCGTCGTGGATGGTGACGACGAGCCGGCCGGGGTTGTTGTAGATGTGCACTTTGGACCCGTAGTTGAACTGCGACCACCAGCTGTGGCCTGGTTCGCAGAAGCGGTGGCCTTCGAGGGCGGGGTTGATGTCGATGTATTGGATTCTTGGGTCGTTGTATTGTTCGACGGAGGAGCGGATCGCAAGGTTCACGGCGTCGACCTGAGGAGGCGATGTTAGCGGGTTTTGAAGATGGGAGAGGGATGGTGATTTCATGTGAGTAGGCCTTACTAGATCGTTGAAATCCTGTCGCATCTCTTTTTTGACTGTCTGTGTCTCGTTTTGCCTTTGGTACTGTACGCCAAAATCCCAGTCATTGCACGCGTCGTCGAGGGCGAAGAAGCGCGCATATCCTAGCATGAAGAGAGTAGCGTCGTTACCACCAACAGCAGGGTGGGCTCTCCACATGTCGATAGTATCCATAACGGCCTGCTTAAGACCTCCTCCGACTCTTCCTCGTACGAACTTGATCTCTTTCCTACACAATCCCGTCGGATCATCAGCATTGTCGTCTTCGTATTTCGTGCCATAGTCAATGCTCCTGTTCGAATGGAAGAGGCAGCTATCGGCCATGGGGTAGAAATCGGCGTTGTTCCCGCCGGCTTCGAGGAGGGTCATCTTGGGTCGTGTCAACTTGTCCATTTGATCGTGGATGTTTTGTCCCAGATGGGCGCCAGAGCAGGCTCTGAACTCGAACAGGGAACCTTGGTCTGGGTTTGGCGTCCAGTCTTTGTATCTGTCGTTGACTATGGTTGACCAGGCGTACTTGTAGCGCATGCATCCATCTTCGTTTCCGTCATATGCGGTGTCGTCGCTCCATTGAACTCCGCTCTGTCTTGTCTTAGTCAATGCGTGGCTTTGGGGTAGAATTACGTACTCCCCATGAGTCGCCGATGGCGGAAAAGATGAACTCATTGTCTCTGGTGATCAATGTGGGGTTGAGGACCGCGCCCTGGGGGTAACCCAACACCGTCTGTGCCAGTAGTACTGACCCAAGGAGGAGATAATTCTGATACGTAAACATGTTGAAGAGGAACCTGTGTAGAAGAGGAGATGAGGGGAGGAGCTGGTTCGGTGTCTTCATCATCCTCTCTCTACGATCTTCTTATACCTTTTCACCTTGAGCATGTCTTCAAGGGTCTACTGTCAGCAGTGAGCATATACGAGACCGTCTGAGCAGACTTTTCGATCTCAAACCCATCTTCAGGAAGCGGCACGGATGTCATCAATCGGGCGTACTTTTTGGGGTCTAAAGACGTCCGTTCACGAATGTTTCAATGCTCGGTTAGGATATTTCCATCATTGTACAAGTTGTAAGGGCCCTAACCCCTACGAATCTGTCAAACAAACCAACCACCAGGAGGACGAGCCGCTGATCCGAGTCGACATCATGACAGAAGCCAAGATGGATGTCCGTCCGAACGTCACCCATCAATAGCCTGCGCGCAGTTACGCTGCATGGGGCCATTAACGCCCGGCGCTTCGGTTGAACCATCTTGACACCTGGGGTCGAACAAAGCCTCGCTTGATGGCCAGAAACGTAAGCAGCAAGGCGGAGAAGCGACAGGGCGGTAGCAGTATTGATTAGAACTACCTTGGTTATGAGGCAGACAGTCGATCCTGCGTGAGGCTGTGGAGACGCACCAAAATATCTACTGAGTAGGCCTGACCCCAATGCGAAACCTTCATGTCAGTTCTGGCGATCGGGCTGGACGCCCAGAGCTCAGCAAGGTTTATGGCGCGTTGTTGTTTGGCCTTGCGAAACATGTATAGCAGTCTGTTGGAATCACCCATGCCCGTTGATCGACAGCAATAACACATGATTGATGTATCTATAGAAGGTCATGCGCACGGGCAATGATAACAGTATAACGACCAAATACACTACTCAATCATCCGTATCCCAAATACCCAGTGTAACATCCATCATCCCCCTCAATTCAACAACCGCTTCCATCCGACTTCCCGCGCCTCTCCCTCTGACAGCCTTAACGAACCCATCACCTTCCTCTACCTCATCTAGCGCACTTCCCCCAAACTTGATCGAGCCTTTTTTCCCATACGCATCCATGCTCCCAAACCAACTGAACGGATACCGCAGGTACAAATCACCAGTGCCGACGTAGTGCGAACTCTTCGTACTGAGAAGGGGATCGTACATCTCATCCAAGAGCTCTCGGCCTGCGTTATCCAGACGGAAAACCGTATTGCCATACAGTGATGTCGTAGAGATCGTGCTTTCATCATCCGGACTCACGGCAGCAAATGGTCGTAGATACGCTTTTATGTTGCCGCTGATACTCGCGAGACTGGTATAAGAGCCATGCGGTATCTCCGCGACTATATTGCCGTAAGCCGAGTGAATGTTCGTGTAATGTGTAAAAGGCTGCTGTGGCCAATATGCCCAGAGCGCAGCGACGTTGATGTCTCCGCTGACTGTGTATACCGAGATGGATTCTAGGCGCATCGGTTTTCCAATGAACGTATACCGCGGTACCAGCATCAGAATGATCTGCCCGCTTTCGCTGTGTATCTTCATCGTACCTTCGCACCCGTACCAGCCCCACATGACTCCTGTTGTTGAGCTGGAATCGATGTTTTGTGGATGCAACGGGTCCTCGCCTTTGCCGCCTTCGTATGTGTACTCGCCGTGCGAAGTGTGTGTGATGAGGTTGTTTATCTGCCAGGCCCAGTAGTGGATCCATAGATCGAATGTCTCGGACCTGATCTCGAGCATATCCAACAGACGTACAGGTAACTCTGGACGGAAGTATATCACGACTTTGATTTCTGTACAAATGTCTCCGTCATCGTCGGAGGGAAGGTAGTCCAGGCTGAGGCTCGTTGCAGTATGGTTGTAAACAACATTCTTGTAGTCTGCAGTAGAGCTGGAATTGATTTCGAGCCGAACTTCGATATCTGAGGTCTGGTCGACGTCGCCTTTCTGGACGTGAATTATACCAGAGAGACGACCGCCAATTGTGGAATTGGATGAGTCGGATAGACGCCAATGGGTTTCAGCTCCGTCGCTGTTCGAAATGTTGAAGTCGAATGCGCGCGTTTCAGAAGAAACGATCGATTCACATCTGGCGTAGTTGATGGTGGCCGGTTTGGTGTCGTATACAGATCCGTCAGAAGTCCTCGTATGGCCGAGAGGGCACACATTCCAATACAGCAATGCTATCGCGAATACGAATAGCCCTAGTTGTGGTACTCTCCAGAGTGGACGCTGTCGATATGAGGGACCTGATTCCTCTCCGGGGAGCTGTATACTAATCAGCGTTGATAAAACGAACGTGTAGAGATACTAACCATCCGTACTTCACGCCCGCTCGAACCCGCCTTCATTGCCATCTCAGTCATGGTTGCGTCCTGCTGTGAGTTCTTTGAATAGAGGCAGTAAAGGAAGAGACAGGATCAAACGAAAGGTATCGCAAACGACAAGCAAAAGCAGTTAGGCAGCAACCGCGATGCCATGCTGACTGTGAAGACGCCCGGTGCCGCGCCGCACGCGGTTTCAGAAGTCTGCGACGCGCCACAACGCAGACGCCGGCACGAGGCGGACTGCACGCCTCTGATCAGCACTCTAAATAGCTCATCTTCATATTTGAAAGACAAGTCTGCGCCCGAGACGCGCATTGTGATCATGTACGAGCGGCATCCTTCGCGCTTCAGTTCCGCCCCCACATGCTAGCAGTAACAAGGCGAACAAATGACGTCACAACAACACGATGTACAACCTGGTCATCACGATCAAACTCGAATAGAAGTTCATGAATGCTTCATCTTGAAGACTTTTTCCTTAGTGAGACTCTACCTAATCGTGCTATTCGGTCAGAAAACTGCCAGCACTCGGCTGCTCACAGGATTGCTCAAACACACAGATGCCAACTCCGACGCCGACGCCAGAGAAATATGCACCAAAGCTCATGAGAGTCCGCCAATCGTTTCCTCGCTCGCCTTGTTGAGCGTTTTACCATTCAGGACGAGGTCGCGGCAACATGAGGTAGCCTTGACCATCGTGAGTGAGTGGGCAAGGGACAAGAGGGCAGTTGCCGTTCTTGTACTTCAATGAGCACATGAAGCGCAGGCACTCAGTGTTGTTCTCCATGCAGGGGCGACACTTGGTACCGCTGTCGCATCGCTGGTCCAAGGCGTAACACTCCGTGCATGAGACGACGGTCTCGGGAAGCTTGACGTTGGCGCGCGGTGGGACGACATGGATGGCACCACGGAGACGCTCACCGTTCTGGCTCAGGTCCATGATACGTGCGTCCTTGCTCTTGAGTTCGTCCTTGACTTCCTTGAGCTGGGTACGCTGGCGATCGGAAAGAGTGGTCATTTCACGAAGCTTGCCCTTGATGTCCTCGATGGCGCCGCGGTTTCTACGTTGCTCTTGGGCGTCGGTCAGCTCGAACTTCCGGACGACAAGCTCTTGTCGCAGATCAGCTATGGTCTTCTCGCGTGCAGTCGCAGCGTCAGCAAGGTTTTGATTCTGTAAGAGGTAATAGTCGATCATCCGCTGATGGTCGGCTGCCTTCTGTTGCTCCTTGATGATGAGATCCTTGTGCTCCTTGACGGTTGAGCGGGTGGTCTCCATCTTACGGTCTTGAGCCTCTATGGCCTGCTTGAGCGCTGCCAACTCGGCATCTTTGGCGGCCAACTTGGTGTCTATAGCGGCCAACTCGGCATCCTTCGCGGTCAACTCAGCATCCTTAGCAGCCATCCTGGCGCCATGTACACCGACCTTGTCATCTAGCATGTGTTAGCTTAGGCACCCTTGAAACAGTATAATGTTGGAACTTACTTCTGGGGTTTGCCTTGTTGATCAACGCATTGCGGGCACCTAGCTGTTGATGTTTCTTCTTGAGTTCGACCTCCTTGCTTGCGATCTCAGCGTCCCGCTTCTTCATCTTGAGCTCCTGCTTCTTGATCACGACGTCCTTCTCTGATAAAGCGCCAGACATTGCGGCATTCTGGTTCTCGGTGGACTCGATCTGGAACTGGACAAGACCTAGCTTCGTGGCGATCTCCGTGTTCTCGTTTTTGAGGCTTGCAGTGCGTCCCTCAAGGACCGCGATCTTGTCCTCTAGCTCTTTCTTCTTGTGCATATCCAGCTCGTGGGCCGCAAGATCGCGGATCTGCCGATTCGTTCGTGCAGCCGCCGTTTGGCCGGGTCTGAAACCATAGACGGGATGCTCACCGGAGTCTGTTGGGGTCGGGGGTGTATCAGGTCCAGTAGGTGCGGATGGCTCGAGAGTAGGGACAAGTGGCGACGAGGAGCGGCGATCAGATCGATGATCGGACTCGCTGTCGGCGGTCTTGTCGTAGTCATTGATAGTATCAATCATACTCTTGAACTCCATCCTGTTCTCGGGGATGTACTCGGGGATCGGCTGATCTGACCTAAGGGCGGAGGTCAAGGGCTCTTGCTGCTCTTGCAGGAAAGAAGCCACAGACTCTGGAGCCCTGTACGGCTGAGCCAACGGGGAGAAAATCTCCGAACTTGAAGAAAGACGTGTAGCAAAGCGAGGGACTAGATGTGGTCAGTCAGTCATATGGTAATGTAAATATATATTTGGTCACTCACCGCTGGACACGGTTGGCAGCGACACCGGGCGCGGAGCTGATGAAGGGACTGGTGTAGAAGACTGCCTCTGTCTCATGAGAGTATCGAGACCTGCGAAGTGGTTGCGGGGAGGCGACCTTGCGCGGTTCTCCGAGAGAGACATGCGGCCGACGAGACCGTTGGTACGGTGAATGCCGTTGATGCCAGTGGTGTTCTGAGAGGAGGTGCCCTCGTCACTGAGGTCGATGAGGTTGCCCGACATGTTGCCAGTGGTTGGTGGTGGTGATTGGGAATGGGAAAGGATGGGAAAACACAGAAGAGCTATCCATTGTTGTGGAGGATTTTGTTTTGATTGTGGGGAGGTGAGGTGAGAGACAGCAGTCACAACAACGCCAAGCCAGAGACGAGCGCAACAGGCAGGCACCGTGACTTACACAACAACAACACGTTGCCAGGCCCGTGCGCAAGATAGCAAATTGGGCTCGAAAAATGGGAACGACAGAAGAACATGCGAGGTGACTGAAGATCCCTACATGAAGTGACTAAGAATTCTTACGACGACTATACGAAATGAAAAACCTTTGATAACCACGTGAATGTATCCAAACCTACCCCCAAGCCAGACGCGGTTGCAATGCTACACATGTCGCAGGCGGATAGCGAAGCATATACCTTTGTGCCAGGGCTTGGTATATGAAAGTTCTCATTACCAAGGAGAAGGTACACCTGTCTAATATGCTCTTTCCGGTCTGAAAGTGCCAAAGAGGCGATGACATGACCCTGATCCTGGATTGAAATGGTCGGCAGTTGCCCGCCGGACAACGACAAGTGACGGTGCGTGAAGATGTCTCACATTCATGTAGTCTCGAGGCGCACACGCAATAAGAACAACTCCTCGCCAAGGCGCATGCCTACAATGCTATCAAGCCGTCTCTTGTCAAATCAGCTCCTGTGTCGTTCTTGGCCTTATCTCAATGCATGTCCAATGATAAAAGGAACAGGGACAACGGGTGAAAAAGACTTGCTATACTTGACATGTGCATTAGGAAAACTCAGAGCGCCATGAACTTCTTGCTGCATGATCCAGTCGCTTCGCCGACGTCTCCAAGCAGATTGCGCTCTGAGCGGTGAAAAGGTCCTGATCAACGGCCGAAACGCTTGAGTTCCCACACGCGCAGAGGCAGATAGGCAACTGCAGCCCATGCGAAACCGACATAGTTGCCCATCTGATCATGTTAGCTTTGCACATATTCGCCTCTTGACGTGTACATACATCAACTCCATAAGTCCCAACCTGCTTAGCGATTGGTCCAATGTACCAAACCTGAGCCATGCACATGATGGCACCAATCCAGCCGATCACAAACGACGTGAAGGCGGCGATGCCCAGCGGAAGCTTCTTCTTCTGGTTCCAGACTTGCCAGTTGAAGCCAGTCTTGCGTCGGAAGATCAAATGCTCTTCAAGCGTAATGGCAATCCAGACAGAGACCCAGTAGCCCATGAGAGCAAGGAAGTTGGTGAAGATCTCGGCGAGATGGGCACGCCCTGCTAGTGCGCAGACTGTGTAGATGACTACGCCAACAGTGTTCCAGATGACTCTCGGCACGACACTTGCGTAGCGACCCAGGATCTGGGCGTCAATGCCGGAAGAGTAGGTTGGGACGATAAGGTTGGCGACAAGACCTAAGGCAACTACAACGCCGCAGAACGAGCCGAAAGCGCCTAGCGGTTTGTATGCTTCGACTATCAAGGCGCCTTGTGATACCCCGTATGCCGCTTCCCATTCCGTGTTGATTAGCATCCCGCACGCTAGGCCGATGCCCAGGACGAAGGCGAAGGTGAAACTGCACATCAGACCGAGCATGGTCATGCCGAAGATCTTGAATGAAGATGCGTGTTCTGGGTAGTAGACGAAATAGTCTGCTGCTCCTCCGCCGTACGTGATGGCCGCAGCGAGTGTCAAGCCAAAGAAGCTGATGCGATTCCCGATTATAGTATCTGGTTCTTCGTCGCCGTGAGACTCGGAGGAGATATTGAATTGCGGACCCGCGACTCCAGCTAGTATGCAGAGAACGATAAGCTGCGGTAGCCAGGCCCAGCGCTCGTAGTAGTGGAAGATCTGGTAGCCAAAGGTGGTGATGGCCCACGCAATAATGGCTACGATGATGATGCCGACCACGACGGACATGGAGTTGCCTGAGACAGCTGAGAGGATCTGTCCAGCGACTACGCAGTCGATCATGCCGTAGCCAAGTAAAACGATGATGTTGAGCAGGACGACGACCTTGGATGGCCACCAGCCCGTGACGTATCGCGAGAAGATCATAGTCCGATTGCCGCTCTTCGGGCCAAAAGTTGCAATGTATGCGACGACAAGGCAGCCAACGAATGCGCCGAAGACGGCCAGCATACAGGAATCGAGAAAACCGAGTGCGAAGACGGCCGGACCGAGCATGCCCAGCGTGATGTTGTTCGCCGCGAGGTTGACGCTGAACCACATGATGGCCACCTGGGAGTATCCCAGCAAGCGCAAGTCCTGTCGCTCCTCCGGCTCGACACGCTCAATGCCGCGGGCCTCGAGGTTGTATGCGACAAGCTGCCTCTCAAACGCCTTCCACATGTCCTGCCATCTGCTCTGGTGTCCCGCTCCTTCATTCTCGGTATCGTGTGCGCTGACAGGTAGTCCGGTTTCGTTTCTCGCGTTCGGGGCAAATATCGACTTCTTTTCATCGGGCGGGTTCGTGATGGGGTCCATGACGGCGACCTAAAGCCATTAGTAGCAGCCTCGCGGCGAGGGAGCAAAGCATGAGTCCTTTCGCAGGCTTTAACCTGATCAAGTTCAGACCGTATATCTCAGATCGCTGCCAGCAAACATGCTGGCGAGCGAACACCGGTCTCATGCGTTCTGCTATCTGACGTTACCTTGATCGGGCATTCTGCTACTCGGCTGCATCCTGGCTGTGTTGCCGTACCTGTGAGGAGAATGTGACGCGATAGTGGAAATGCGAAGTAATGATCAGGAGAGAGATTGAGTGTCAATGGAAGCTGCGAGAAACGGTAGTGACATTGGGAGCGAAAGGCGACGAGCGAAAGATGACATGACCAAAACCCCACTATCGTGCCGTCCCGAAAACCTTGCGCCTTTCCCGTGTCTTGGACTGCTCGCGTAATGGGATGCGTTCAGACTCTTCAACATCTTTCCGGTTAGACTCAACTTGTCGCGCGCATACCCGTGGACGCGTCGAAATCACGCGACGGTTGTGGAGGGGTGGGAGCAGACCTCTGTGGTCATAGCTTCCCTGTGTTCACGCGGCGGAACTGCGGGTCAGCCTCGCCCAGCTAACATCGACGCTGCACTTCCGTGACAGCATCATCTCGCATTCAACAACGACCTCGAACGAAAATAATGGCAAGAGCACTACGGTCATACCGCCGAGCACATGCCATCTAGAGCGACGTCACCTAGCGCATGCAGCAAGTACACGCGGCGCTCTTATCATCTTCGGCGCCCGCCAGTAACCCCCGGTCTACATCGGCTTTCGTACTACCTTCCACACCATGCTCTTTTAATCAAGCTGCATATCTATCCTGACTGTTTTTCAACTTAGCCGTCATTCTACTGCTACTCTACTACCAGGTTTCCATGAGGTTGTATCCATATTAGGCAGGTCCAAGATCTGCGTTGCGACACATGAACACCGGGTCACGAACCCATGAACGCATGCTTATCTGTGATAGGTAAGATGCGACTAACCGCTATTACTGTACCTCGATTACTACCGCCATCCCCGGCCATTGCCGTGGGACTAATGCGGGGGAATGAATGTAGGAGAAACTAAAGTGGATGAGACTTTAGATATGCATTCAAGCATGCGTTCCTAGGTCAGGCTTTAAATATCTGTCGATGTGCAGCAGACTGCAGCAAGCCTTACATTCTTCACAACTATCTCTCGAAGTGTATCCATCATGAGGTTGGCGAATACATTGTTGTTGACCACTGGTTTTGCACCACTGACCTTCGCTGCGCCGGCAATCCATGGACGGGCCAACAACAGCACATGTAGGAAGACTACTGTCGCTATCATGTAGGTTTCATCTTCGTGAACACAGATCAAGGTTGACGAAAAATTTGTAGCGGTGGCGGAGTTGCGGGTATCACAGCAGCTGTAAGTCTACATTCCTCTTTCCAAGATGAACAGAACAAGGCAAAATTCTTCTCATTCAATCCACTTCGGAAGTTCAACGATCACATCTAATCCAGCTGCTAATGGATTGTAGCAAGCGCTTACCAATCAATCAGTTACCGACTTCCTGATTCTCGAGTACCAAGATCACATCGGTGGCCGGATGCGAAACACAAAGTTCGGTTCCGACTCCAACGGCGACCCTTATACCGTCGAGCTAGGCGCAAACTGGATCTCTGGTCTTGGTGAAGACACCGTAGATGGTCCAGAAAACCCTGTCTGGACTTTCTCAAAACAAGTCAACCTCTCCAGCCCAAATTCTGATTCCTTCTCCGTCACGACCTACAATGAGACGGGAGCTGTAGACTTCACGAACTTACTGGATGAGTTTGAAGAATACTGGAGTGTTTTCGAGCAAAGTGCTGGAACGCTACTCTCCGAGAACTTGCAAGACAGGAGCTTCCGTGCAGGTCTTTGGCAAAGCGGGTGGAGACCAAAGGGCGATCCGGCGCGCAAGGCTGTGGAGTATTACCTCTGGGATTGGGAAACGGCTCAGGTAGGTTGATTGAAGCGATGAGTTGCGAGATGTACTAACATATTCGCCCTAGACACCGGAAGAATCAAGCTTCGTCTACGGCATCACAGGATACAATCTGACCTATTATGGCTTCTCGGAGGTCAGCAACTGTACGTACCTCTGCGTATGAGCATGATCTTAGCACTGAATGAAATACTTCCCAGTCTGCACCGACCAGCGTGGCTTCAACACCTGGCTCAAGCACCAAGCCTCCAAATTCCTCAAACCCGACGACCCCCGCCTCCTCCTCAACACCATCGTAACAAACATCACCTACTCTGGCTCCGGCGTCCACATTCTCACTTCAGACGGCTCCTGCATCGAAGCCGACTACGCCATCTCCACCGTCTCCCTCGGCGTCCTCCAAAACGACGCCATAACCTTCTCGCCCACCCTCCCTGACTGGAAGCAATCCGCCATCGCCACCTTCTCCTTCGGCACCTACACAAAACTCTTCTTCCAATTCAACGAAACCTTTTGGCCAACTGACAAGCAATTCTTCCTTTATGCGGATCCCACTACACGTGGGTACTACACCGTCTGGCAGAGTCTATCAACAGAAGGGTTCCTGCCCGGTTCCAACATCCTCTTCGCTACGCTTGTAGACGAACAATCGTACCGTGTGGAAGCGCAGGACGATGAGACGACGAAAGCGGAGGGTATGGCCGTTCTCCGCAAAATGTTTCCTAACATCACGGTTCCGCAACCTATTGCGTTTACCTACCCGCGCTGGTCCCAAACACCCTGGTCTTACGGTTCCTACTCCAACTGGCCTGCTGGAACGACGCTCGAAATGCACCAGAACCTTCGCGCGAATGTAGGTAGGTTGTATTTTGCGGGCGAGGCGATGAGTGCGGAGTACTTTGGTTTCTTGCACGGTGCGTGGTTCGAGGGGCAGGAGGTTGGTGAGCGCATTGCGGGTCGGATTACGACGGAGTGTGTTAATACGGGGAGTGGGTGTGGGGACTATAATCGGTATGAGGTGTTGCGTGGGACGACGGAGTTGTGGGAGTTTAATGCGTTTAATGGGATGGGAACGAGTCCGTTTTTTGTGGCGGATGCTGGGGAGGTGGAGTAGGAGGATGTGGGTTGTGGGTACGTCTGGATGTCGATGTAGAGAGTGGAGAAAGCCTGTAACTCAGGAAGATGACATTTTTATGGCATCCTTCTTTTGCTCTTTCGGCATTGCTTGCTGTCCACCCTCCTCCTTCATCTCAACATCCGCCCAAACAGGCACATGATCACTCGTCCCCATCTCCTCCTCCGAATCCATAATCCCAGCCGCTCGAACCCACCCCTTCTCCCACATCCTCCTCCCCGCAATAAAATAATCCACCCTATCACAGCTACTCCCCCATTTCCTTCCTCTAGAATAATACGTATACCGTCTCCCATCCGGAAACATCTCCCTCCACACATCCACCCCATCAAACGGCTCCTTCGCCTTCCCACCGCCTCCCAGCAGCTTATCGTGGAAATCCGCTCGGTTAACTACATGTGCCTGTGGGAAGATGCGTAGTTTGGGATACCCATCTCGCTCGTCAGGCGCGATGTTCATGTCGCCTGCGAGTAATACATCCCAGCCTTGCTCCTCCAGCTCTCTGCACTCCCTCGCCAGAAGTTTATGAAACGCGCGTTTCCGATCATGTCTCGTTCCTTTAAACGCACCGGTCTGCGGGTCTCGATACGCGTTTTCCGTTCCGTTAACGGCGTAGATGTTGAAGACGGCGAGTTTGGCTGTGCTGGTTTTCGAGCGGAGTTCTACGACGGAAATGCGGCCTTCGGCGTCCCAGTCTACGGTGCGAAGGGCGATTTTGTAGGGGATATAGAGGTCGCGTCGGATTAGGCTGCATACGCCGTAGATTTTGCCGCTGCGTTTGGGGCCGCGGGCGTTGTGGAGGTCGGTGGGGAGGGTGAAGTGGACGTGGTATAGTGGGCGCTTATTATGGGGAGTTCCTTCTTCCTCTGGTAGGGGTGATTTTACTGCTTTTTTGACTGCGTCTTGGGTTTTTTCGTCTGTGTGGGCTATCTTGACTTCTTGGAGGAAGAGGATGGACGGCCATTGGTGTCTGTGCAGGAAACCTCTTAGGGAGGCTGCTGGTCGGGCGTTCTTTGCATCGTCCCTGAGTGCCGTTTTCGATTTGGGAATGAAGAATTCCGTGATTGGCTTTGTTAGGAACGGAGCAATGCCATCGATATTCCAAGAGAAAATGCGTAATGTATTTGAGTCGAGAGGTGGAAGGGGCGTTGGAGATGCGGGCGTGCTTGGAGGCGCCGTTTGCCCGGGAGACGTCGCTGTGTTTGTCGCGACCTTGCGTCGTTTCGAGGGAGGTGGACTGATATCTCGATTCATGGTACTGTAGTGGCGGCATGCCGTGACTCTTTGTGATATATGTGACACATGCAGTTGTAAGATGCGCGCACGACCGAGTGACGTCATCATCACTTTCTGCTAGCAATGCCCTAGACTGGTCGCAAACCCAGCCACCAAGATCCTCGTAACTTTGGTATATGTCGCATTGCTGTTTGCAGTATACAATCGCGCATGCACGCGGGCGGGGCGCGACGCGTCTTCCCACTAGAATTGATTGGGCAGTGATCAGCCACATCATTCACTACCCCACCACTACCAACACTTGACATCCACGCTACAAACCTCAGCCACAGCCACCTAGAATCCTTCTTCCAACACCACAATCGCATACCTACTCCGCTCTTCCACCTAACTTCAACATGTCCTACCGCCGCAAGAAGTCCCTCCTCATCGGCATCAACTATGTCGGCAGCAGCCACGAACTCAAGGGCTGCCACTCAGACGTAGACAACATGGCCGAATTCCTCTCCTACCGCGGCTACACAAACTCACACAAGGACCGAGTTATCCTCACCGACCGACCTGAAGTACCCTACGACTCCCCCTACTACCCCACCGGCCACAACCTCCTCGCAGCCATGGACTGGCTCGTCTCAGAACCCGGTTGCACCTTGTTCCTGCACTACTCCGGACATGGCGGCCAGATTGCAGATGTAGACGGAAACAGGACCACGGGAATGGATGCATCGATCGTGCCTGTGGATTTCGAACAGCGCGGCCAGATTTCCAGTACCATTCTACATGAACATCTTGTTACGTATATGGCGCGGGATTGCACGTTGTTTGTCATCATGGATTGTTGTCATTCTGGTAGTGCGCTCGAGCTACCGTTCGTTTACCGCTCTGATAGCGATGGCCAGATCAGTTTGATGGATAACTTGAAAGCTGGGCTTACGCTTGCTAATGAGGCGCGCGATATCATCTCTGGTGGTTTCTCGTATAGCAAAGTTGGGGAGGCGAGGGAGTTGCTTGCGGGTGCGAGTACGTTCTTCAAGGGACTCAAGCATTTTGGAGAGGAGCAGGAGGAGGAAGGACTAGAGAGTGGAGAGTTTGCGGGGCAGTATGGGAGTGAGCAGAAGATGGTGACGATGTTTAGTGGGTGTAGGGATGATCAGACAAGTGCGGATGCGCGGATTGAAGGGGAGGCGACGGGAGCTATGACGTGGGCTTTCTTGGAGATGATGAAACAAGATCAGACTCCGACTTATGCTGAGGTGGGTGCTTGACATATGTTTGGCGGATCTGAGAATTGTTGTACTGACCGGAATACAGACACTCAAGTTCATCAGGAAGACCCTGGACGAGAGCAACTACAAGCAGATCCCACAGCTGAGTTCAGGCTTGGATATTGATCTGGATGATATGCATCTGGTACTCTGATCGCAGGAAGTCGTCGTCAAAATTTGCGTTTACCCCGAAGATTGTGGATAAAGGCCATTCCTAGCAATAAGACATGTAACATTCCACTCATTTGCCATGGACGGGGGTTGTGAATTGTCTGACCTTTGTGGCAAACCTAGCAATCGACGCAGCTTGAAACATGCCCGCACCAACCCGTCTGTACAACGAGATGAAGACACAGATTGTCTAACCTCTAAGACCACACCCGCAACTTATGTCTCAATATAGCAAACCATCCTCTCTTTCAACACTCATCATCCCTATAAACGCCCCCTCAACCCACCATCCTCCTTCCCAACGCCAACCCACCGCCAACATACCAACACCACCCTTACTATACCCCACATACCCCCCAACATGCCACCCCAACCCCCCATCGACCCCCTCCGCGCACGCATCTTCTCCGAACTAAACCTCCAACTAACACACCCCTCGATCCCCAAACCCCTCCTCAACGAATGCTCAAAACACCTCGCTTTCCTCGTACGGTACTACGCCAACGATCCGGATTGCAATCCGCTGAGGGTTAGTGTGCCGATTGTTGAGGCGTCTGTTGTACGTGTTGTGGATGTGGATGGGAATGTAGAAGAGGAACAGGATGAAGAGAATGAAGAGGAGGAGGAGGATGTAGAGATAGAGATAGGCTTGAAAATCGCGTTAGTAGTTTTCGAGGAGAAGAAGAGGAAAAGCTCTGTACAAACGAGGCTGGAAGGATTGCGAAAGATGAAGATGGAGAGATTGTATGGTGTGGGTAAGGTGTTGGGAGAGGAGGAGACAGAAGACGACTCGACACCAACGGTGAAGACGAAGAATGGTCTCGAGCCTGGTGGTCCCGTTAGTAAGATCGCCGGATCTCGACATTGTTCTCCTGTGTCGGCGTCTGGTACTGGTACTTCTGTTTCGTCTACAGCTGCGAAGCCAAGGATGCGTGTACTTATCGAGACGACTGGTACGCTGGGGCATTACAAGTGCTTGGTTGCTAAGCTCTGTGGCATGGCCGAGCGTGTCATAGGTGGATTATTGGAAGGTGATGAGGACATGGTGCGTGCGTGCGAAGAGGTCAAGAAGAATAAAGGCCAGAAAGCGAATGCGGATATGGGAAAGAGACCGGTCTGGAATGTTGAGGCTTGTGGGGAGTGGTGTTGAGCTGTACGAGATGTGTCGACACGAGGCTTGAGTCGTGAGATTGATCGTTGCCTTGGTATTCATATTTCATTCTAACACGTAAGACATACAATGATAGAGAGACAACAGCACCCATTGCATCAGAATAACATACTTCAGTAAAATCCAAAAAGGTATCCCTAGCTTGAGCTAACTCACGCAAGCTATTTCCCATCACACCAGAACACCGACCCCGCTACCCGTCGTCAAGAAGTGACCCAGAAAATAGTGCGATGAAAGTACAAACGCCTCGCAAATGCAGCAAAGAACCGCCGTTTGGGTGCTTAGTCCTTAGCGACCTCTGTGCGGACCTCGCCCTTGACGTTTTCAGAATCGCGTTCTGCGTCGCCCTCTTCTTTGGCTGCGGCGACCTCTTCTTTGTTGTCGTTCTCTTCCATTTCGACGTCTGCCGTGGGGGCTGAAGTAGGTGCCATGGTTGTTGTTGCTGCCGCGGCTGGTGGGGATTCGGGTGGGGTTACGACACCAGCTGGCGATTGTGATCGCGTTGAGCCAGCAGCAGGTGCAGTCGCAGCAGGCGCCGCGTCCATGTCGATGTCGCCATCTTCGTCGGCTTCTTGCTCGCCAGCGGCGGGGGTTGTTGTGCGCGACTTGGCGACTGCAGATGCTTGCCGTGTGGACACGGCGCTTTCACCATTGGTCTCCATGCGGTCCAAGTCATCCTCTGGAGCAGCGTTGGGGTTCGGGAAGTCGGTGATGTGTCGCCTCTTCTTGGTGCCGGGCTGCTCGCGCACTCCGAGGCTGTTTTTGTAATCCTCGTCATCGCTCGCGTCGTAGAGCTCACCGTCGTGCTCTATTTGCTGGTCGCGCTGACGCTGTGTCATGCGCACATCCTTGTTCTCATCGGCATCGAGATCATCGTCTTCATCTTCAGCGTCTGAGTCCGTAGCGCGAGTTAGACCCGCAGGCACATCCGGAATATTGGTGAAGGCTTCAACTGATGGCTTTCCGGTTCTCCGGATATTGTCAATGACGGCGGATTTGATCTTGTGCAGGTAGTCGTGAGAGTTGGCGTTCTCCATGTTAGAAGGACGGACGTCCAGTTCGTAGTCGGGAGCGAAGTATTCGTAGTAGTCGTTGAAAGGCAGCTGCTTGGACATCTTGGTCGAGACGAGCTCTCCTGTTTCGTAGGCCCAAGTTCGCGCTACGTTTCTCATAGTGTAACCACCTCCTCCCAATACGATGACTGGCACGCCGAAGCTCTTGACGTACTTGACACAATTGGCGTGGCCGTCCATGCTCAGGTTGAAGCAACCAAGCCTGTCTCCGGAAAGACTGTCACCACCGCATTGTAGAACAATAGCCTCTGGGCCGTAGTATGTCATGACCGCCTCGATGACGGGCTCGAAGATGTTGCGATAGGTCTCGTCGGTGATGCCGTCGCGAAGAGGAAAGTTGACGGAATAGTTCTTGCCGCTGCCGACACCGATGTCGCGCAGTTCACCGGTACCGGGGAAGTACTCGCCGTACTTGTGGAATGAGACGGTCATGACGCGATCGGTCGTGTAGAAAGCTTCCTCGACACCATCTCCGTGGTGGACGTCGATGTCGATGTACAGCACGCGCTGCTTGTATCGGAGTAGCTCGATGATTCCCAAGACAATGTCGTTGACATAACAGAAACCACTGGCTTCGCTCTTCTTCGCGTGATGCAGTCCTCCCGCCCAGTTTACTGCGACATCGCATTTTCCTCGGTTCAAGCGCGCAGCGCCCTCCATGGTGCCGCCAGCGCTGATACCGCAGAACTCAAATAGACCGTCAAAGACTGGACAATCGTCTCCGACGTTGTATTTGCTCTGCTCACGTGTAAAGCTCTCCATGTTATCGGGCGTTACTTTGTGAAGGAACTCGATGTATTCGTCGGTGTGGAACTGCGTCATCTCGTATTTGGACGCGGGCTTAGCGCGCTGCCGGTGAGTTAGCACAGATCCATAGAGGATTGAGGTCGGAGTCACCTACGTAAATCTCCATTTTGGTGTACAGTCCGTAGTTCATGATCAAGCTGTGCGCCATGCGTATGCGGTGGGGCTTCATGGGATGTCCTGCTACATAGGCATAGTTGCCGACGTCGGAGTCGTAGAAGTACGCGACCTTCTTTGGCTGCGAGGCGACGCCATTGCTCAAAGACGAGGAGCCCGTCGTGGGTTCCATAGCGGTGGTCATATCTTTGGTGGCTGCGCACAGCTATGCGACTGGGAGGATGTGTGATGATATTATCGTGATAAATGTGATAAAGTTGGACTGGATGTTGCGGGCGACGGTTGCTACAGCATGCAAGGTGTTCGAGTATCAGCAATCAAGGAAATGTGGAGGGGCGTGGCAGAGAGATGGCGGGAGCTTGAACAAAGACCCTCGCGCGCCATTACCATGAGAGCTGCGACAGGGCCCCCCTGTCTAGTGCCGGTTCCGGAACAACCGAGTCGCCGCATGCAGTCGCGCAGTTACGTGAGAGAGCTCCGAGCATCAACAGCTTCATCATCGCCGCCGCCTTGCCCAACAACACTTCGTCCACACCCGAATACCCTCACCTTGTCGCCATATACCCCGCCTGCAGTAATCAAAGAACCATCGCCAGTACTCCACCATGGACCGGTTAACTAGGATGCTCGCCGCCGCCCAAGGTGGCATGGGCGGTATGGGAGGGCCCCAGGGCGACACCAACCTGATCGATAACTCCGAAACTGTCTACATTTCCTCCCTGGCGCTCCTCAAGATGCTGCGGCACGGTCGCGCGGGTGTACCCATGGAAGTCATGGGCCTGATGCTGGGCGAGTTTGTGGATGACTACACAGTACGAGTGGTGGATGTCTTTGCCATGCCGCAGTCAGGAACCGGCGTGTCCGTCGAGGCCGTAGACCCCGTCTTCCAAACCAAGATGATGGACATGTTGAGGCAAACAGGAAGGTACGCAATTGCTGAGTCGGTGCTCGAAGCCGCCACCGCTCCCAACCCGCACATCAGTCGCTGACAAACACAGGCAAGAGACCGTCGTCGGCTGGTACCACTCACATCCTGGTTTCGGCTGCTGGCTGTCCTCGGTCGATATCAACACACAGCAGTCGTTCGAGCAGCTCACACCCCGCGCCGTCGCTGTTGTCGTCGACCCCATCCAGTCGGTCAAGGGCAAAGTCGTCATTGATGCCTTCCGCCTCATCAACCCGCAAGCCCTCATGATGGGCCATGAGCCCCGCCAGACAACCTCCAACGTCGGTCACCTCAACAAGCCATCGATTCAGGCGCTTATCCACGGCCTCAACCGCCACTACTACTCCATCGGCATCAACTACCGCAAGACTGCGCTGGAGGAGAACATGCTGATGAACCTGCACAAGCACGTATGGACAGAGGCGCTGCTGATGGACGACTTCAAGGGCGAGGGCGAGCGGAATACCGACAGGCTGCAGAAGCTCGTCACACTGGCAGACGGCTACGAGAAGCGAGTGAAGGAGGAGACGGAGTTGACCAAGGACCAACTAAAGACGCGATACGTCGGAAAGGTCGACCCCAAGAAGCGTACGTTGAAATCCATGTCTTGCTTGATAGGTTTACTAACAGAATATCACAGACATCTCAGACGTCGGCCAGCAGCTCATCGAAGACAACATCGTCTCCGTCTCACGGCAGATGATCGACAAGGAAGCCTCGGTACCAAAGTCGAACTCGCGGCAAAACGGCCAGTCAAGCGGCGGCGACGACATGGAGATGGAGGAGTAGGATCGGCATACCCGTAGGCTGGCTTGGAGGTGGCATGTACACTGGCATGAGCTGCAGAATAATGCACTCAAAAGAGGCATATACGATACAGTAATGCATAGACTGCGTATGAGAACAACGACATTACACAAACATGATTCCACCCATAATGACGGTTACTTTGCCCGATTTGAGAACAGCTACACAAATGGATATACCTCTTCTAGGCCTGAGTTTAGTCATCCTGGACAACAACAGAGGCGAACTAGTCGCTCACTCTTGCATTGCGGGTAGTCCAGGACCTCAGTCCTCCAACACAGTATTGAGACGTAGAACCTTGTATTAGGTTCGCAGTGGCATGGAAAACATCTACGCTCAAGTTACATCATATACACTTGAACAGGGGAATATGCTTGACGTCTTTCTCCCAGATTCTTCAAACACACGCAAGGTGTACGTCATGTTTCTGGGTGCAGCGAAGCAGCGGATTATTCTGCGGCGTCAGATGTCGTTCATCTATGATTTCAGCTTTCGACCATGATGGAAGCTGCCGACACGGTAGAAGTCCAGGTGCTGGTTTCCATCGTCGGCGTTTCGGGGAAAGGTTCAAAAGATTCGGAACGTTGGTGTTTGTGGGTGAGGCGAGTAGTGCAAATGAGGCGTGGGGTCTGATGGTTAGGTAGCTTGACATGTCTCCATATTCGCAGGGTCGTGATGTAGATTTCAGACCTCCATCCATCATCCATCACAACACCTGATTTAACACTGATTTGAATTCAAACGTATGTCATTTTGATACATCTCTATTTTTTTCGTAGCCAAAAGCAAAAGCAAAACACCAGCCCACGCTGATCCATATCCCATTGCCCGTAAAATTCATTTCTCGTACGCCCCTTCTTCGAAGATCCGCGACACGACGAATTGCGTCATGTACTTTGTCGCAACAAAACCCTTGGGGGTTACTTTCGTCTTTTTGCTCATCCCCATCCACCGTAGCGATCTTTGGTATATAAAACAACAAAATTTGCCGCCCACTTGAGCCCGCCACCCATCAGCCCTAGGTTTCGTCGCCCGTAACACGTATTTTGTGAGAAATGGTAGTGTCGATCCCAGTATTACATTTTGTTTGTTTCAAGCAACTCCGGTAAGGAAAGGTGAAGGGTAGATTGGTTCCATGGGAAAACACATAGCGGAATGGGTTTGAAATTTGCAAAAAAGTTCGGGTCCATTACTGTGAAGTCTTGAAAGGGAGGTAGGGTAAGGTGGCTAGTCCAGATCCCAGGGGGGTAATAGCACAACATCTGCACCCATAAAAGAGTGCGTTTCTAATAACCGTCTTCCAGCCATATAAGTGTGCATCCGGGGTGGTTTCCTTTATTCCTGTCCTGTTCCTATCATGGTGATTTTGAAGCATGCTGTCTATCCAGCGAGCTCCACTCAGAAGTACGATGACCTGCCAGACTAAGGATGGCCATGCGGTTTCCCTGACGTGTCTTCTGTATTCGATCCGTTCTGGCCAGTAGTAGAGCGAATCTTCTTTGCGTTCTCGTCGTCGGAACTGGAGTGGCTGCTGCTTCCGTCCTCGAAGCCAATGGTTCCATCCTTGGATTCGCGGCGTAGCCTATCAGCCTTGTCCTTGAGGTAGGCGGCCTGTTCGGCGGCCCTCTGGGCCCGGATCTGCTTCTTCCACATGGCGGCGTAGTGGCCGTTACGGTCGAGCAGCTCCTCGTGGGTGCCTCGTTCCTGAACCTTGCCCTTGTGCAAGACGAGGATCTGGTCAGCGTGGGTGATGGTACTAAGACGATGAGCGATGATGAGCATAGTGCGGCCCTTGGCCAATGTCGTAAACGCCTCCTGGATGTGCTGCTCCGTCTCCGTGTCAAGAGCGGCAGTGGCTTCGTCAAGCATGATGATACGCGGATTCTTCAGAATCGTGCGGGCAATGGCCACGCGCTGTTTCTCACCTCCAGAAAGTCGCAGGCCGCGGTCACCAACCTTGGTCTCATACTTGTCCGGAAATGTCATGATCTTGTCATGGATACTGGCAGCTCTGCATGCCTCGTGTACCTGTTCGTCGGTTGCCTCTGGGTTTGCATACTTGAGATTGTACATGAGTGTCTCATTGAAGAGCACAGTGTCTTGGGGTACGACACCAATGTGGCTGCGCACCGAGTCGATGGTGAGATCTTCCACATCGTGACCATCGACCTGGATGCTACCAGACATGGTGTTGTAGAATCGGTAGAGCAGACGGAAGACGGTCGATTTACCTCCACCGGATTCACCAACAAACGCAGTGGTCGTGCCTGGCTCGCAGTAAAAGTCGAGACCGGTAAGCGCTGGCTTGCGCTGGTCGTAGGCAAAGTGTACATCCTGGAAGCGAAGATTACCCTCACAAGAAGCAAGAGGTTTGGCATCCTCCTTGTCGACTACGGTGGGTTGCTCTTTGAACAGCTCAAGCATTCGCTCCGAGTTGATCATGGCAGACTGGATCATCCTGTAAAAGGTGCCGAAGAAGTTGAGAGGACTTTGCAGTTGGCTCATATACGTGAGAAGCGTCACAAATTTGCCGACGTCGAGGACTCCAACTGCGATCTGGTATGCTGCGATGAAGCATGTAACGAGGAGTCCAATCATAAAGACCATGTTCTGTGTGATGTTCATGATGTTCAGCGATATCATGACCTTGTACTCAGCGTTCTGATACTTCTTAACAGCTTCACGGTAGCGGTTGAACTCGTACGCTTCGGCGTTGAAATACTTGACCGTCTCGTATGACACCATGGAGTCGTTCTTGACTGCATCTTCTTCTCTGTCGGCGTTGACCATTTCGCGGCGAATCTCAGCGCGCCACTGCGCCATGCGGATAGTCAGATAGATGTACCAAAATGTAACGATGGCGATGACGAGCGCGTAGTAAGCATCGAACCTGATGAGGAAATAGGCGATGGCTACGCCTAGATCGATGAGCATGGGAACAACCGAAAAGGTCACCTGCTCGAGGAACGTGTTGATGGAGCTGCCCTTTCCTAGAGCGGACAGGACCTCTCCCGTCTTCTTGCCGAGGTGGAAGTCGAGACTAAGGCTGTGCACGTGCTCAAATGCCGCAACGGACAGCTCGCGATACGAGTATTGGGAAACGGGGATCCACAGGGCAGATCGCGCCGCACCCAGCAATCCGTTGCTGCCCTGCAGAAAACGGAAGCCGATGTACAACATAATGGCGGTCCACGGATTTCCGCGCTCGCGGTCGTTGAGGCGCTTCACGATTTCACCCGTGAGGTCCGGGACCAAAACGTTAACGACGCGTTGGCCTAGGACGAGCATGAAACATGCGATGACGACCAGCTGCAGCTTGCGATCTTTCGAAGGCCAGAGGTAGGGGAAGAAGACGTGATAGCCTTTGATGTATTCCCACCAGCTGCGCGCGGGTGCGCCAGTGGGCCTGCTCCAGGCGGGCGGTGCACCTTCGGTGTGCTGGTGTTTGCCACCGGTCGGGTGTACTGAGCCATATGAGCCGTTCGCGTGACCGTTTTCCGCATGACCGTTTTGTTCGGCGCTACCGAGCAAAGAGGTATTTTCGGATGGACTGCCCGATTCTTGGCGAGATTTGCGCTGTGGGACTATGACGAATAGTACGTAGAAGGCGATGAGTGCGAGGAGCAGCACGATGCGGAGCAGGTCCATGGCCACCTCTGCGGCTTCCCACTCGGTCATTCCAAATCGCAATCGCTTGGCGGGAGTGCCTACGGTGGGCTCCTTGTGCGGATGCGTGTAAATGGAGAAGGAAAGGGCTACCAGTGCTATTTCTAGCACGGTTGCCAGACTCCATGTTGCCAGATGCGCCTCGGTGGGAGATGGCTTCGAGTCGAGGAGGGAGATGACGAAGAGACAGTAGACGAAGAAGGCGCCAACGAGGTAGATCTGGGAAAGTTAGCCATGGATGGAATCTGAAGTTTGTTGCTGTTACATACCACTGCGGCTTTGCCCACCCACCAGTGCTGCTCCGCCTCGGCCAGGGCATGCGCAACGACGACGACGGAATTGCCGACAAAGGTGAATGCCGTTGCGAGCGACACCCATTCGAAGACACGCTTCTGGGTCTGGGTGACATCATCGTGGACGAGCTTCTTGACGAAGTTGCGGGTGGGATCGGTGGCCGGCAGCGGCTTTCCTCCAGGGCCGGTTGTGGTAGGTTTGGCGATATTAGTATTAGATTTAGAGGCGGCAATGCTGCGGACGGTGAAGGCAGCGAGGAAGAAGACGAGCATAACGATGGGATAGGCATATTGCAGCACGGCGATGGTGGTGCGCACAGGGCCGGCGTAGGCCCATCTCTCGCGGTCGTGGTCGTCCATGTGGTGCGGCCCAGCCATGCTGTTGCTCTCTCTCCACGGATCTGTGAGGCCCGGCAGCGAGGCTCACGGGTGGCAGAGACGGGCGGGGAGGAGATAGGAAAGGGAAGGAGGAAGTGTCGGTGGTGGAAGAGAAACGCGGTGACATGTTGCACCTGGGCACACTGAGACGGTGCCATGGGCGAGAGCTAGCTAGCACGAGTAGACTTGTGGCGCACATGCAGCAGGCATTAGCCCTGTCCGTGCGCGCCGATGATGGATTTCATCCAGACCTCGCTGTGACCCCGGCCTGCAGCAGCTCCCAGCATGGTACAGCTCCCAGGCACACGGGGCGAGTCGTGTCCTGCAGCCGCCTGCAGCTCGTCACACCAGAGTCGACTCGACCGGATTTACCACGATTTACTGGCACGACTGCACTTCGTTCAATACTGCCCGTAACGAGTACTGCCTAACGAGCATTGCCCCCCGTCTCTGGCATGAGGCGAACTTAACGCTCAGATGACTGAAAACCGTCGCACGTCAGCCGTCTCGTCGCCCAAGATCCCCCCGGCGCCGCCATTGCCACTGCCCAAGCAAAAGTCACGCTCCTACTTTGAGCGTTTTGTTGCGCAGCCCTTGACCACGGCCTATGGATCCCGCCCACCCAGCGTGCATCAACATGGCTACGAGGGCGGCCCTCCGAACCCTCTAGTGCCGAAACTTGCCGGGTACGTTTCTTTCGTACATGCTCGACTACTCCGTCGCCGTATACAGCAACTTGATTTCTGTCTCCCCTATTGGCTGCGTCTTCCACCATTCTCATCCACACTCCCACATTTCCTCCACACTTCCCTCTGCATCTGTTGTTGACGTTTGCGTGGCTCTTTCCCTGATGCCGCGCTCCTTCCCTGCTGCCTCACTCACCTGTCTCCCTCCTTCCCTGCCACTCACCTGTCTTACCCTGCCTCGCTCCTTCCCTGTCACTCACTTCCGCCACTCACCTCCTGCCATGTATCTTGACATACCCCCAACGTGCCTTCCCCGTCTCTGCACTCACTCTCAACCACTCTGACCCTCCTGCACCTGCACCTGCACTCACTCTCAACCACTGCACGCACTCACATCCGTCAGCATCCGCACGGGCTACTCCCAAGATGCAAGCCATAAGACAGGCCTCGACATCTCTGCCCTCGACATCAACCGTGAACGCACCCATGCCGTCCTCGCTGGCAAGGAGATCCTGAAGACTGTCCGCGTCCAAGATGCCAAGATCGTCGACGAGACCAACCTGCGGGCTGCAGTCCTCAATTATGCCGATTCTCATGCCCGACAGCGCGAGGGCTTGGGCATACACGACGTAAAGTGGTCCCATGGCCAGTTCAGCTCCCACATCGCCACTGCCGCTGCAAATGGCAAAGTCATACTGTACGACCTGAACCGCGCAAGCGTCGAGCTCACCAGGCTGCACGAGCATACGCGTCAGGTACACAAACTGGCCTTCAACCCCCACCAGGGCCATCTGCTGCTGTCTGCTAGCCATGACAACACGGTCCGTTTGTGGGACTTGCGCGACATGCGTAGGGATGTTACTGTCTGCCGCAGTCGGGATCACTACGCTGGCATGAATGGCGGTATCCGTGACGTCCAGTGGTCGCCTACCGATGCCGTAGAGTTCGCTTTCGGCACGGACAACGGGACCATACAGCGATGGGATTTCCGCCATAACAAGGGGCCCAAGCAGAAGATTACAGCTCACGACCAGCGCATCTGCACCTCCATCGACTGGCACCCAGACGGTAAGCACCTGCTCAGTGCTGGCGTGGATCGAACCGTCAAGGTCTGGGACTTCTCCGTCACTGGACGCCGCCAGAAAGCTGCGTACGTCTTACACACACCGTTTCCGGTATACCAAGCTCGATGGAGGCCACCATACTGGTCTGACGAGTACCACGAAAAGGGTGCCTACCAATGCACACAGCTGGCCACGTCTTACGACAAAGAACACTCTGTCATTCATGTATGGGACTTCCGTCGTCCGTTCCTACCATTTCGGGAGATCAACAAGTTTCCCAGCGCACCTTCCGACATGCTCTGGCACTCGCGTGACACTTTGTGGACTGTGGGTAGAGAAGGCGTTTTCCAGCAGAACGATGTCCACCATGCTCCCAAAACCGTAGATCGGCGCAATCTGCAGGCTTTCGGGGTATCGCCAAGTGGAGAGGTTGCTGCTGTTGCCCAGAAGAGACCTCGGCAGCCATCTTCAACAGGCCTAGCTTATACTGACGATACGTACCTTGGTGACCCGCGTGCCAGACGACACAGCCCCGAGAAGGGTAGTCTCAGAAGTTCGGCAGATGACAGTCTAGATGATAGTTTTCTAACATCGTCAATGAAGCGACATCATGGTCGCACTGCTAGCAACAGGTCTACCAAATCGTTCAGTAGTACCCCGCCATCTGACATTGCCCCCAAAGTCATGTTCCTCAGTGACTCCATGGTCGCACATAGCGAGTCATTCAGGCCGAACCAGGTCGCCATACGAGGCATACTGCCAGGCGCGGCCAATCCTCAGATCTTCGAGTATCTTGCACAGAAATACAAGACCATACCTCTTTCCGACCCACCCGACTTGGACTCTTTTCTTCGACTGGAGAGGGCGTTTGAGCAAAACGCTGAGTACGCGCAGCGCGCAGCCTTCTATAGGCTTGCGCAAACATGGAGGGTCGTCGGTGCGTCCATTACCATGGCGACACGACGCCGAGCAGAGTTACACAGACAACAAAGAAGGTTGCGACCGCAGAACACCGCGCTACCGTCCGGACAGACACACCAAGCAACATCCGCGCACATGGAGGCACATGACAAGCGCATGGCGATCCCTCCAAATCCTGCAGTGCGTGCCATCTTGAGCACGCTAGAGAAGCCAACATCACCATCCCGATCGCCCAGCGTGCGAGAGAGCACTTCTAATATTGCGACCCCTCTTGCTCGTCCAGTCATCACCCAAACCGTCGATAATGCTGAAAGGCCAGGCTTGCTCGATATTGATCAGGAGGACATTGATCAGCTTCCACCCGCTGTTACTGGACCGCCTGTCGATGCAAGTAGGACACTCGCGCCGCCAAGGACGTTCAGTGGACCACAATGGTATCACTCGGGAGACGACATCGATGAACGCCGTGCCTTGGTCGGCAGCTATCGTGCATCCCCACGGATTCCACTGAGCCTCGCACCGAGCGGCACACAAGCCGGACGCACCATTGAGCCTCATCCACTGGAGCGACACGACTCTGGGGAAAGCTTCACAATGTTCTCTGCGTCGTCGGACTCTCAAAAGGGTAATTCTGTGCCGAGCTCGTTCGCGAGTACCAACTCACAACTAGGCCCTGGGCATTCTCTATCGGAAAATTGGCAGTCTGTCCAGGAACAATCTAGCTTTGGGAAGCCGAGAAACGCTGGAGATCAAGAGCTGAGCAAAAGCATCTCGATATCACCAACGACCATGCCCCAAGGGTACACACAGAAAGTGGTCCGCAGCGCTTCAAACAATGTGGATGAATTCAGCAGTGGAGAAAAGGCTGTCCGGGATATGGAACATTTACGGCGGAACAACCAATTGCTCCGTCATGATAGCTCCGATTCTGAAGCGCTCACAAGCATCTCGTCATCCTACGAATTCAGCACTGAGATGGAAGCTAGTGGAACTATTGTACCCGACGTGTTTGAGGATGTGAGGTCGCCTTATGTTCTCAAGCCACCAGCGTCCCTGCCACATGCCTCCGGAATTGCGCCTCCTGTACTTGATCCAACAATAGAAGAAGGATTGTTGCTGTCAGACTTTGAAGCTGTGCATATCGACGCCGAGGCCGGCTCTCCCTACTCCGTCATTGGGCTGCTTAATCATCTCCTGGAGTACCACACGGAAGCGTCGGATGCACAGTTTTCCTCAGTCCTCATTCTGCTTTTAGCACCGCTGTTGCCACAGACGCATGGCCCTTCTGATACTCCAGATGTACACATAGGCGATGTATTGAACGTCTTCAGCGACACGTTTGTAGCACTAGGACTGACTCAAGCACAAGCGAAAGCCATACTATCGACACAGCTAAGCCAGCTGATAGCTACCGGTATCAATCCCTACCAAGCGGAGTCTATTCTTTCCGGCTATCATTTCCAGCTACATTCCTTGTCATTGTTTAACTCCGCGGCCTCGCTCCGCCGCCTAGCGTACCCAACATATCCTGCTGTCTACGAGCAAGCGCTGAAAGAAACGCAGGTTGGGCTTTTGTGCCTAAGCTGTAAGTCACCAATCAACAACCCTAGAGATAAGATGCGATGCGAGTCCTGCAAGCGAACGCAGGCACCCTGCCCGATTTGCTGGGGCAAATACCCGGCTTTCGAATCGATCACCGCGAAGAAGAAATCCAAAGCGAAGTCGCGGCCATCATTCAAGGACAGAGGACACAGAAGGCAGCGATCGTCTCTCACGTCGAATCCAGACCATGCCGGCGATCAAGTCGCAGACGGTCCATCACCGACTGTTCCAGCCAAATGGTCGTCGCCTGCAGCCACGCTCTGGACATGGTGTCCATTATGTGGTCACGGAGGACATTCAAACTGTCTGTCAACCTGGTTTGCCGATCCGACACTATCAGACGGCGCATGTCCGACCGAAGGCTGTCTCTGCGACTGTGTCCAAGGCAAACGCCGCGACACAAAGATCGAAGAGATGCTGCTCAAGAAAGCAGAGAAGGACCGATCGAAGGTCGTACGAAAAGGCGATGATTGGAAGGTAAAGGAAAGCCGCGCCGTGTCGGCAGTCCGGAACGCTGCCCTCGACACGATACCAGATCATCAATCACAACCAAATTCTGGCACCACAACACCGACTCGTAGATGAAACAAAGGCTACTTCCGGAGCAATCAAATCAAGCAATACGCGCATCGATACTTCCCGGGCCGTCGCAAGTCTCGACCACAGCAATTCGGCCCGAAACGAATCACTCACTTTGCAGACCCATGCACTTAACACCAGGCACGGCAACCCTTCGAGTCCGATCCTGACATCACCACACGTCCAACCACAACCCTTTCCGAAGGAATTCCTCACATCGGATCCGCATCTCAATTTTCGCAATACGTCGGTGTACATGGCAAAATGGAGCTGCCCGCATACATGCATAATCACACCGCTTGTATGCGCGCCAAGCATGGTTGTAAGACAATGAAAAGCCCGCACACCCTCGATAAAGTCGCGCAGCTCGCCCGCTTCCCCGGGATGCGGGACGCTGACTTGATTGAAGCGTGGGTCTGCCACGTGTAATTCGTGGGTAGCGAGGCGGGAATTTATAGGCGTGATGCTGCATGTGGTAGTATGTGTTTTCGGTACTTTTGCGCGCAGATGGTCGGTCGGGATCGCGGGAGCGATGGCATGTGGGAGGTGGGAAGGCGGTGGGGGTGGTTGTATGCATGTCGTTTTTGCGATGATGCGCGATGACGAGCTGACGGGATGTATTTGGAGTGTAAGACGATGTTAATGATTGTTAAGCTGCTACTATTATACTACCATCATGCTATCGTACTCGGGTTCAACCTTGGAAACTTTCGCCCGACCGCCCCGTCTGCCGGCACATGGAAAGGGTACCTTTTCCAGTACGTGTACAAGGTATCCACACTCGGAACGGAAGTAAGCAGCATGTAGACTAGCGCTGCTGCAGCCTTACCGTTGTCATCACGCGGCTTTTGACTGTGGATCGCTTACACCCACCCGTATGATGATTTACCGCATATACAGTAACTTCTCGTGTGAGAAAAACAAAGAAAGTGTGAGGTCGAGACCTCTCGGTTGTCGCGTGTGGGGTAAATGTTTAGTAAATGCTTTGATGATCAGAGGTCATGATACGTCGCAAATTACGACGGGCGCGTCATTGCATATTGAGACATATACACGTGCTGTTTGATAATGGTGGCTTGAGTTCAGGTGCTAGCTTGTATACAATCCATGGCAGTCTGTCCGTGTCAAGGGAAATAAGGTAACGTCGTGATCAGAAGATTGATAAATTCTTTTCTACGTCCAGCATCTGTCAATTGGTTCAGGTAGCACCAACATGCCTAATCAGTAGACGATGTGTAAACCGTACAACCTCACGACTCCACCATACCACCCACTTTGCATGAGCTGAAGAGTACGTACCCTACACATGTACCTCACGCCTCACACCACTCCCTCCCATGTCCGCGTGTACGCCCCCCAGCCCCCAGCCTACGCTGATCGGTCTGTCGCTCGCTCACTGGCATTCCCTTGATCGGTGTTCCACCTGTGCATCCGCAGCGGGAGTACCGCAACCAGACCTACATTACCGCATTCCCCACGATCCCAGTGATTCACCTACATGACGACATTTGTTGAGGAACATTTACTGCGAGTAAGATTGTAAATTGTAGATTGCAGGGGTTTTATGGACGCAAGGCTACAGCGACGGTGTATTGGTGGCTATGGATAAATATGGCGATACTAACAAGAATGGAGTATTGTCGGTCGCATCTGTAACCGCTGTGCAGTGTACGGGCTGATGCTGCAAGATGATGGGATGTTGAGAGATTGTGAATCTGGTACGGATGACGTCGTTGGGTATTTTTGGTTGTACGTAGGTGTCTAGACTTCTCTTGTTGTACGCGCCTTGGGTTACACAATACTCGCGACCGCAATGTCGGGTTCGTGATTAGCATGTCATAGGCGGATGCTATCCGCGGGGTCATGGGGGGTTTAGCGAGGTGTGGTGGGCTGATTCCGTGGGTTGGGCCAGAACATAGCGATGATACTTGTTGCATGCAGCGTATGCTCGATGTTGGAAGTCAAGCAGAGCGGCGTCATTGCGCATGCTGTGTATAAGTGTATGTGTTCGCGATGTCCAAATCCGTACCTGTGCTGTTAAAAGCGTGCAGCTTCCTCGCGTTCAGCAGCATCCCCCATGCGTGGGAATATGCGCCCAAACTTGACAGTCTCCCTCCGATGCCGCTTCGATAGTCTCCATGCGGGTATCGTACGTCTGTCGCATATCATGGGTATTGATAAGGTTGCAAGGCGACGCAGTGCGCTGGGCGGCTGTTTGGGCATCAACGGTACGACCGATGTACGAAGTGCGTGCGTTTTGACGTGTTTCGATCCATGTACCTAGCAGGACGCGTGGTCAGTTTAGACAGAAGAAACCCATGCAATGCCTCGACTCAAGAGCACTTCCTTCTCCACTGCTGTTGTATCTTGCCTGTAGATTAGTAGGGCGAAATCGCAACAATGCGCCATGCTGGCTCCGAGGTCTCACTCAGCCCGACGATATACATCACAATTGGTTGTCAGACGTGACAGGGTTTGTGAATTTGATGGTATTCATGTCTCAACCGGTTCCATTCCTCGTGATATCGTTGATCCGCGGGAGAAAGGAAATGAAGGCCTAAGTCGCCGTGAAATGCATGCCTGCGCCCTCGAGGGGCTATTCAGATCCCGAATTCCTGCTCGCAGTCAGCTCCGTCCAGCCACCCGACATGGTATCGTGTGCATACCTCAACTCCATATCCCCAACCATTTACCGGCTTGCGCTCCAAACGGACTTGAGGAAGCCGTCCTTCTGTGCGAGCCTGTTGAAGCTGTCGTCGGCCTCGCCCATGGCGCGGACGAAACCGCAGATGGCGTAGGCCTGGTTGTCGCCGGTGTAACGGCCGTTCTCGTCAACCTTGCCAACGCTGAGCTGGACAGAGGCGTGGTCCTTGGCCCTGATGATGCGTCCGGTGGCCGACTTGGAGGTATTAGTATCGCGTTTTGGGTCAGGTAGGTGGTGGTCGGTAACTTACGCACTGTGGTGTGTTAGCAGACATTCGTTACTACGTGACATGGGCTTGGCTTACTTTGCGGGGGACGTAAAGGTCGACGAGCTCTCCGCGTTCGTTCTCCATTTTGATTGATGTGTGGGTGGGAGTCGGGTTGGGTTGTGTGGCTGCGGTGGTGGTCGATGTCGTCGGCGTCGATGTTGCGACTCGCTGAATTTCGAGTGTCGCTTAGCACTGGTGGTGTGGCGCTAGCGTCGCATGCGGGTTAGCGCGGGTCTCTATCGAGCTGGTCCCTCATGGGCGACCCTGACCGTCACAAGTGAAACCTCGCCTTTTGCGAAGTGAACAAATGGTTTGTATCATTTGCTACAAGCATATGCTCTGCACACAGTAGAGGGATTGCCTGCAAACGACGAAACGCTGTAGCCTTGGTCTACCAGCCCGCATTCAGTGAACATACCTTGACAGAGGACCATGAGTACTTCTGCTGAAGTTTTATTGAGAGTTGAAGTGAACTGATTCTTGTTATTTGCTTCTATGGACTTCTTGCACAGGTTGCTCTGTCCGCAAATGCACCAGTTGCGGCCGCTGACTGCCCAACCGAGGGCAAACCCACGCATTCAAGACAACCTCGAAATCTTACATATCGCTATATAACTACCTCAATCCGATATTCATCTAATATTTATGTTCTCAAGATCTCGAAGAAGGGCATCTGGTTCAGCCAGACATTCTAATTTATAGACCCAGTCGTTCTTTGCGCACTGCTCGCTTCCCAGTTCAGAACAGCTTGCCAAAACGAGCAAGGTCTACGACTACCATATCAAACCATCCATTCCAAGATTAGCAATATACTTTCTGGCTCTCGTCTCTCGTCTTTGTCCGGCAATGTTTGTAAAGTCGGCAAAAACAAGGCGCGGGCAAGAGCGTCCAAGTCCGCCATATCTTCCATCTTCCCATACTCAACCATCCCCACCCCGTGGCTCTATGGACCCAAAAGAGGAATTCTGCATCGCTGAATGCATCGTCCAGATATCGAGCGAGATCCACTGTGTCCATGAAGCTGGCGGAGTGTGTGTACATACCCCAATGTCAAATCTTCCCCAAACCTCCCCAAACTCAACCAGCACTCTCCCCAGAGCTCTACAACCACCATAACGACGTGTAGAATGGCAAAAAGAATGCATCGGCCGGGAATCGAACCCGGGGCTAGCCGAAACTGTCCTGTGAAGGATGGCAACGGCTAATTTTACCACTAAACCACCGATGCTGGTGATCTGAGCGAGTTGTTTCGCTTGGTGGAAGCCTAGCAAAATAAGACCACTATAATACCATTATTGATCCAGTCAGCGGGAGTGAAGGGATCGATCGTGTTGTTGAGTTGGCAAAGACGGGGTGGAGTTAGACAGCGTTGAACGGAGTGGGGTTCTGCAGATCTAGACCATGCAAACTATCATCTGCCGTGTCCTGCTGGCCGAAAGATATCGGCGAACATGCAGTGTTGCCTGCATATTACACACTCGGCAACTGTAATTGTTGCATTACGGCGTACCGGAATACACATATCAGGGGCTGGCAAAGGCGCGAGGAGGTTGGGGCGAGAACTCTACTGCACGACGGCGAGAAAAGGCCATTGCTAAAGACAGTATGTACTTTGAGCTTTGCGCTAGTAATTGACAAGTTTGGCTCCATGGTAAAGTGGTTGGGTGGCTGCTGTTGCGACATCCCAAGGGTTGTGGTTGTGGGGTTGGGAAGTGCAGCGCGCGGGCAGGCCAACGGCGGGCGTCCTGCCACACCAAAGCTTCCAAGGGCGGAAGGCTCGACATCAACGATGTTGTGTGTTAGCGAGGGCAAGACGAACACAAGGATAGGATATATATGTGGTATGTATGAGTTATAATGAAATGGATTCCAAAAGTACGCTGAGACAATGCAAACGCCTTTGAGGGTAGCGTATCGTAAACCAAAACATGCCTCGTGGTATGCACCAATGTCGTTTAATCACAGAAAATGTGTGTTTCCTCCAGTCTAGACCTGACAACAAAAATCAACGCTCATGCAATAACGCCGCGCTCC